TCCACGCATCGCTGGGCGTAAGACCTTGTAAGTGAATAGCGGCTGCAGCTGAGACCACCTGACTAACGTATCGAAGCGTCAACTGGTATCAACGCAACTATCCCTATGTCTGGGCCGGTGCGCGCATTGTGTCGGATGTTTAGCAGTGATACTTGTTGCGTAGTTTTCGCGTTTGTATGGTGTCAAAATCCTGTCTAATCCAGGCCGTTATGATGCAACAACGCGAGACCTCGCGGATGGTCGGTTTACTGCATTCTTCACCGCAACGACGACGAGTCGTTTCCTCACAACGACCTGAAGGCATTCTTTTTGATCGAAGATACATGAGAGTCGCGCAAGTCTCGTTGGTTGCTGTCTCTACAGAAGTCATTTCATTGTTGTCACAGTCACAGTCACTCGCTCTTTCCGCCCAATTACGTAGTCAGCCTCGGAGCAGCCCTGAATACGCTGTTACACCGGTCAACAGCCGTTGCACATCGCCCCGCTACATTGCCACCAATAATCCCAAACAATTGTGCGTCTTCTTACTGCACTCTGTGTCCAAGCAGAATTATCGTCTCAATCGCGCGTGCATTTCCCGCTCACACTCTCAAAACATCATATCCTAGCTGCTCTGCCTTCCCGCCATCAGCCTACTCAGGTCGCGATCGATTTGGAAAGCGCAAACAGAATTAAGATGGTCAACAGTCTCCTCTTCAAGTGGGAGGATTCGGAGGCGCTCAAGTGAGTTGCTGATCCCAGTGCTTGTTTGTTTGGGCCACCGGAACGCAGTCCTAAGGCAACCACCCAAAGCAGACGGTCGCTAACAACAATCGAATAGACACCACTGCGGCTTTTGCGAGCGTCCGTTGAGCCATCCCGGCGCGAGGGCGTCTTGTTTCGGCAAGCACAGCGAGCCATGCGTGCGCTTCCATCAGGTTCGTTGCATGGGACATACCCAAGGCGAACAATGCACTAATATCTTCAGGCTATGTTCATGCGACTTCGCGGTCACACTTGCAAATACTGCATGGGTATTGAGGAGCAACACTACAAGCGTCATCACGATATTGCCGAGCGCTTACGAGCCGTCTATGAGGGTTGTGGCGAGATCGACTGGAACATCGTACCGGATGAATCTGAGCTAGAAGAACGTGGAAAGGCGAGAGATCTCAGCGATGAGGACACTCTATCCTCGAAGCGTGAGCGGAAGGATGCCAAGCGTCTGGCAAGAGCGGCGAGTAGATCTAGAGTCGTCACGCAGGAGGAGATTAGGTACATCGACTCGGTTGTACATTCAGCTGAAGGCATAACGAGCAACAACGCGGACGGGCCACGAAATCCGGAAGAGATCGAGGAGATTGAGCGACAGCTTCGTGTAGGTGCTGAGTCTGTCGCTTTGGTATCGACTCTGTTTAAATCACTGACTACTCCACAGTACCACGCCCATGTTTACAGCACTCAAGTCGGCCGGAAGGGACTTAGAAAGCTCGCTGAGGCACCTGCGGAGTCTCTAGACGTTGACTTCGAAGCCGAAATGGACCGCATCTTGGAAACCTTCCGTATCGACGAGCTACTCAGACGCAACACCAAAACGAAGGGAATGCAGGGAAAAGAACTCAAAATATTTCAAGGCCTCGTTGATACATTCAAGCAAGCCATTCTCGAGGACATCGTTTTGGTCAAGAAAGACAATGCCGAAGTGCGAATGCGGCGAGCAGGCTATCTCCGATACACCAGCAAGACTGCGTACGGTATTGTAGAAGAGAGGTATACTAGAAAGGACTGGAAAACTGGAGAGAAGGTCGCGTCTAGTCTGAGTGATTCCAGTGGTGTTATCACCCCCGCGGATGAGACTGCTCCACCGGTCAGGTTCGTTGCCCTCACCCCATCTTTCGTCGCGCGAAATTGCGACAAGACGCTGTCCAAGTTCGTTGGATTGTGCGACTCAATTATTTCCAAAACTGACAAAAATTTAGTGATCAGGACGATGACCAGTCGCCGCGGTGGTCTGGTGACCTTGATATCTCTGACCGAAGGCATCTTAAGAGCAACCACAAGCGCGTGAACGGCGACGACGGACTCTACCATGCGGATATCGAGCCCTATCATACTCCGCTATTACCTTTACCACCCGCCCCAACCTCGAATAGACAGTCGGCTGCGGTTCTGGTGATAAACGTCAAGGCTTTAGAGCGGGGGCCGACTACTGTGCCTGGCAGGATCAACAAATCGCAACCAGCTCCTGATGGATGGCAAATCGTCACAAACGGAGTGACACCAACAAAATCGGTAGCAAATACGCGCGCTTGGGGTAACATTCCAAGTAAGCCTCCCGCTCGTGCTCCTCGGCCTGGACCGACTCCATGGCTTTCCGATTCGCGCGACTTTCCAGGACTCTCAATCACACGGAGCCCTACAAGTGAGCCTTATAGCCAAGCTCCAGCAGTAAAGCCTCCAAAGGTTTGGGGTATGTCAGCCCCCGAGAGCTTTACGTCTGAGACGGAAGACTCTGTCAACGGCCATCTCGCAATCTCCCAGAGGAAGAAGGCTAAGAAAGCACGAGAGGCGAAGCGCAAGGCAAAGAAGCAGTCTACATCGGAGGCAGCTATGAGTCTTTCTGATCTTCGAACTGAAGCCACTGAAGATATCGATGGGGTGGGTGACGTTTTAGCACAAGCTGCTTCCACGCTACCTGAGACTATGCTTTACACTAAGGACCACGATAGTTGTCAGAATGTGCTATCATACACGGCGATCGCCAGTGGTCACGATGCGTCCGCCGAGGTGGTATCAGAGCCAGTCTCTACGGACACGGCATTCGCTAAGGAGGTATCTCCAGTACCTCTGCCTGAACCTATACTACTGATCACAAAACATGGCAAACACATGCACTGGATTAGATTTATACGCAAATTTGTCGGCGATCAACTCACGAATCCGTTCCCGCCGTCCTGGAATGGCTGTTCACACAGCACGTCATGTTCGTTTGAGAACAATGACATCCTTGATTGTCCCTTTCATGAGCCTCGTAAGTTCATCATAACCGGCACTTAGCAACAGACACTGACTCTAACGTAGACTGTCCCTGTGTTGATCCTTTGGGAGATCAATGCTACCTAGTGATGCCATGCCTAGACTTGTGTAGCACCGGGCCTTTCAATCGCCTCCGTGGAGAGAAACTACTGTCACTATACGAGAAGGACCATCGAACCAAGGGCCGCTTGATGCTAGTAGACGATGACCTGATCAACTATCTCATGGAAGATCCGACTATTCGAGCGCGCAATCGCAACCCAGATGGCGTACCTGCTCGTCTACAGAAAGAGTACGACCACGTTAAGAATGGCCTCAGTCCTGGAGCACTCATTGCTCAAGAGCTTCGATTCGAGCGACTTTATGCGAAGAACGGATTCACCAAGCAGGAGCTCACTCAGGTCATGTTACAGAATATCCAGCATAACGAATTCGAGCGTCCAGGTACAAAATACATGTGCTACTGTCATGCTACCGCACCGAAGGGTGAATCACCCGCGAAGGACACTGTCATTTGCTCACACCGCGACTGTACTACGAGGTACTTTCACAAGTCATGTGTAAAGAAGCTCGGTGTGGAGAAGGTGTCGCGCTGGTACTGCACATCATGCGAACAGCAGATGAAGATACTTGCATGTCAGACGCTACGTGGATTAGGCTATACCGATGTCCCCATGGAGCATCTTTGCAGCCCCTCACACGGGCTGAACGCGGACGACTTCGAAGAGATGTTTGATGAGAAGTTCAGGCAGATGATGAACTCACCCGACATGGACTACCTTACACTGCTACCTCCCGAGATTATATACAAGGTTAGAGGACTTGGCGGGCTGTCTTCCATGCCTGAAAAGTACCAGAAGCAGCTGAGGGAGAAGGTTAGGGCTCTTGGCCTCAAGTTAGCGGGAGCGGACATTGATTTCTCGGTGTCTGATGAAATGCGACGCGTGCTTTGAGGGTTGTACCATCCAAGTGGCTGTTTCGGCGTCAATTCGGTACATCTGACGTAAGGTTCTCACTTCCAATGAAATATGAGGGATGAGTAATGCGAAAGAAGAGAGGGCATGTTTGGAAGCAATGTATAGGCATACGGAACACATCAAACCAAGGTACCTTCATCATGGCTCCCATGGTTTGCAAAGAACTGAAGCCGCAGTTTTTCACTTCAAATCTGTTATCACAGTTGTCTGCTCTTTTTTTCTTTTTTCAATTCTCTTACATCAGCCTCCCTTCTGCCTCAGCTACGTTCTACTCTGTCTCAGCTCTCCACGCTACCGGATATCTCCAGCCTTCATCAAAGCGACAGCCACATTAGCTCTTAACTACTGACGAGCGCCTCCAATATCCAATATCCAATATCCAATATCCAATATCCAATATCCAATATCCAATATCCAATATCCAATATCCAATATCCAATATCCAATATCCAATATCCAATATCCAAAGACCACGCGCACACCACACAGACATGTCATCTCCTACCGACACCGTACACAGCCGTGTTCACGTCTCTACATATCCGCTCACACGCTGTCACGCAAGAACGCCTTCATTCCCACCAACAGAGGCAAGGTACAACAAAACAGAAGAGGACATCGAAGACCCTGAAGACGCCTCTTCCCTAGCTCTCCGTGCAATCGACAGTCTTGTCGTCGAGAGACGAAAAAGGACGAAAATCGGATTTTGTTCTCGTCAGAGCGATCTAGAAACGAGGTGCAATGGGGGTTTTCCGGAAGAGGGCGAAGAAGATGTGGATATGGAAGGCCTGGGTGGTCTTGCTTTGCGCACGATCAATAGCATAGAGCTAATCCGTCAGGATAGCGATAAACTGAAAATGGGTAGTGCGAAAAGCAGGATGAGTAAGAGGGAGAGGGTCAGGAGCTGGTTCTTTGGGGTGTGGTATCGTGCATAAAAATTGAGCGTTTCATGGTAACAAGAGGGGTTGATTGATAAGCAAGACGTTGGTTGGAGCTATATAATGATGACGCATCGGTATGTGCATATGTGAATGCACGGTCTACCAACAAAATTAAAGGCATTCACACCACGTGCTTTTCTTTTAGTTGTACTTGCTGCCGTATGTTAAGAGCGAAACCCATTTGGATCGCTTTCCCTTCTTCTCCCTGACAAGCTTGTAGCGCCGTTCTCGACCATCCGCTACTGCTCGTACAGTCCGGTTTGAGCGTCCACTACTACTACCCTGAGCATGTGCAGTCGTACTATTTTTGTCGCCGTAGTGAGTGTGGTTTCCATTATTATGGGCGTTATTGTTGTGCTGCGCGATTTGGATGATGTAGGGTGATGTGGTGTCATGATGTTGATTGGCCGGAGAAGGTAGCGATGGTGGGCGGCCTGGGCTTCGACCTGTCAGACGGATCACGTTAACATTATCGCCAGTGGGACAATTGGGATCATCGGAATCGACAGTCTGCGATGTGTACCCTGTATCTGGATCACTAGGGCCCCCAGGTTGCGTGCGTACCAGTGGCCCTTTATCATGGTCGAATCGGTTGGGATGCTGGCTATGTAGCGGCGGAGATCCAGGGTTCGGAGATCTAAGGCATTGTATAGTTTTCCTAGGACGACGAATCATCTGGGGCGAATTCCATATGATATTGTTCGTACCTCTATGGATCTGAGGCAATTGTAGTGTGCATATGTCGTCCCTGGTGATTGAGCGTGACGACCCGGAGGGTGACCAAGACCCATCGGCCATACCTGTATCGTCACAATCTTGCTCAAGGCGTCGATAACTTGGTGGCTGTTGGGGATCGATACGGAACAGTTGTGGTTGATGTTTGATGGGATCCGGACCGAAGGATCGTGCTTCCGCCAATACTTCATTTCGGATAGCAGAGTCAAGATGTTCGCTGTTGAGGTTCCGTTCCAGTTCGCTGATGAATGGTGCTGTCCTGCCAGCAAAGCATATGAGGAACTTTTCGGCATGACTATTCGGATCGACCTGTTCTCGGAGATGCTGGAAAGCTTCGACGAGAGACCCATCGGCAGTGTGCTGCCAGCGCACGTCTGTTCCGCTCCCGGCAATGATGTTGGCGTGAACGTCGGTCATGAATGATATGAGCTCATTTTGCAAGGTAGGAAGACGAAGTCGTGCTGCAAGCGCCCACGTTTCAGCAAAGAAGAGCAAAGGCGCACCACTGTCGACATGACTCGCGAAGACCGACGGGAGCTCGTCGCCGTCCAGATAACTTGTCACAGCCTGAAAAGGCTTCACTTGCACATTTGGTAGTATGGTACCCGGGAGCATTGCCTTGATTGCCGGACAACTTCTGAGTATGCGATTGTTGATTTTGATCGGAATAAAGTGACCGTTGTCGGATTTGACCGTGATAGTGACACTGTCATTCGGAGTGTTGAAAGGCATGTTCTGGGGTCCGATGGTGATGTGTGTCTCTGATGGTTGCGGTATCTCTTTCGAGAAGTCAATGGGCTTGTAAGATCTAAGCTCTTATATATTGGCCACAGCATCATCGGTTTGTACCACATAAATGAAAGTAATCGTCTGGGATTTCCGGTGCAAACACGACTGCCCCTGCATTGAACAGATGTGAAGTTTGATAATGTTTGTGTTCTTTGTCCTAATGCATGTACTGAGAGAAGTGTCATCGAGGATGTGGCTTGTTAGGACTTTCGACGCTGTTGTACACTGTCTGAACGTTTGCAGCCTTTCAAATAGCCGCTTGATTAGTCCTTTATGAGCTCCGATTCTCCGTACGATCTAAGACTGTAGGCGGCGTTTCCAGTGGCGCACTAGCGGTTTCCAAAGGTTTGTTTTACCATCAAAATATGAGTATGCTATGCCAAGCATCCCGCCGGCGAAGTGAGCCTAGTAATGTTAGTAAATCCCATGGAGTCATGCGCATTGAACTCACTGCGTGGCCAAAGTTCACGAAGCTGTAGCCGCGAATGACGCCAACGAGATCGAAAAGAAGGATCGCAGGCAGAACATATTGCGCATCGAAGTGTACTGGAATAAACAATATCCCTATTCCAGCGTGCGGATATTGCATGCAGAACACCCCTAGTATTCCGAAAAGTGCTCCTGATGCACCGCCGGATTTGATGAAGATCTCAGGGATTGGCCGCCTGTTATGGAAGGGTATGCGGGTACTCCATGTCTGCCAGTGTTGAGCAAAGCCTGACAGCACACCCGCCGAGAGGAAGAACGACAACGTATGATATGGGCTACCTTCGAACAGTCGCGAGTACCCGACTGGCGCCATGAAGTTGTTCAAGAAATACATGTTGACGAAAAAATGCAAGGCTCCAGCATGTACAAACATGGATGTGAATTGAGTGTAGTTGACATTGCGAGCGGGTGTATGCCATAGTGCGTCCCAGGCTTTAGGCATGAGAAAGCTGCTGAGATGAACGCCGCTATTGGCCCCGATAAGTCCGTATGTGACTCTCGAAATGGGATCGAGACCGGTCCAGGCTCCAGTTACGACTTCAGTCGGGGTTGGCGGTCCGCGTTGTGTTGTGTTCCATCGCGGTGCTTGAAACCACCCTCCACCAGATGCCGGCTTTTCTTTGAGCTCTGCCTTGGCCTCCAGATAAGCGAGACCGTAAAAGATGCCGCAGGATACCGAGAGAGCCCATAGTGCAGGGCGAAGATATCTAACCCCCGTAGGAATTTCATGTGTCGCGTTTTCGGTAGTATGGTCGATCGGCCGTGATACATCTACCAAGACAGATGGTTGCTCGTCTGAAGGCTTGTGGGTATCCTTCCTCTGCTGGTCATGATGCACGCGGTTTTGGGAAAGGCGACGAAGTTGTGACACAGCAGGACGGAAGGCAGGAACCGCCGGCAACCGAGACGCGTAGCATGCGGTCCGTAACGATGATCCAGCAATCCTGGATGCAAACATGAGGCGCGAGTGAATGTTGCGCGTAGTTGAGATGTAGGGGCGATGACGCGAGGTTTGCATTTGGCGTCGGGCCGACTAGTGTGTGGTCCGTGCGACTGCGTCTCCTCCATTCCCGGCGTGCTGGCTACCTTTGCCCTCTTGCACACCTGGGCATCCGCCTCCATCGTCACCGCTGGAAATTTGCAAGTCGAGAGTGCGATCTTTCGCACAACAATTTCATCTATGTTTCCGTAAAACCGCCCTATCTACCAACGCAGATGTATCGTGCATTCCGAAGAGCTCCAGCAATCGCCATTGGCAACTTACAACTGCTCATAGGTCATCCAGCAATATTCTACTGTCGCTCCCACGATACAATTCCCGACGTGCGATGTCTCTTCGCGCATTTTCGTTTGATCGGCCAAACCATTTTCTGGCATCACACAGCGATGATTTTTGCGGTGCCTTTCGTGGAAGGTTTTGTTTACATCCTTCCTTGGCGTTGAAAGCATCTGTAGGGCACTCGTGTTGTATGGCTTCGATGAATGTGAAAATTGTGCGTTTTCGTGTCCAGCATGTGGGAGTATCTTCGAAGAGGTAAACCTAATACTGATGAGCTTCTTATGATAGCTAACGCCACGCGCCGCCTTGGATAGAGCGAGCTATGTAAAAATGAAACGAAAGCGTGTACCTTGGCTCGTTCATCACTGAACCAGAGAAATCACGCATCCAAAACCCTTCAAGTCGTACGGATAAGAGGCCTACCTATGGGATCTCATGTACAGGTTATGTGTATTAATGCTTCACCACTTTCTCATTCACTTCTCCTGCTTCTAACAAATATTAGACATTTACGGAACGATCTACCAGTCTCGATATTCAGGTTACGTTATTCCACGCTTTCAACGCGAACAGAGATCCCCAACTGTGTCTCGGCAATGTTAACATCACTCAAGGCGACGCTCGGCGATCGGTCATACTCTAACGAACGGACTCCTACAAGCTCCTCGAATGTAGATATATCCAATATCTATAACTATTCAGCGAAGGCGCGCGTTATAGCTCTGGGTACCAAAGATGTCCAAATTCGAGTGGGTAAATCACCCTATGCCCGCTTTGTCCAGATCCCTGGCTCGACTCTGAAAGCATGTCCAGTACTACGCGCCCGTCTCGTGTAGCGATGCGGGATCATAAATACTGACGCCGCTATCTTTCAAATAATTCTGAGCTACCTGAGCAGCAGCAGCCTGTTATGGCGACTGCGACCAAGTACACAAAATCCTTTGAAGCAGCTCACGAGTACCCATGGCACGATGCTCAAGCTGGCCAAGGCGTGACATCTCGCAGATATGCTTGGCGATCTACGATTACAGAACAAGCTTGTAAATACTTTTCGCGCATTCTACCTTGAGCTACTGGACGCTCACGCCCAAAAACCCCTAGAGCACGAACCCTTCACATATTTGGAGGACCACATTGGTACTCATACCAAAATCGAAAAGTTTATCATAGACTTCTTCGCCAGACTAAGTCGATATACGGGCGACTTCAGCACTGAGGAACTCCTCCCATTTCGACATGATGTTGCGCTGTCTTTAAAGCTGCGATGTACGCAGTTGGTGGTACTAAGACTCTCTGACGATATGATTACTACCGGCAATTCATGCTTTAATGTCAGTGACTTGGACATGACAAAGCATGCCACTTTACATACCATAATGCCTATCAAGGTTTCCTCAAGCACGGATTTCGACTCCTCATCATCAAAGCGCGGCTACTCAACATCTACATCATCATCCTTAGTCTCCCTTCCCATAACATCAAGGGCTCCTATCTCCGTCAAATCGCTTGTATGTGGCCGCGGACATCGGATGCGCCCGTCACTTCCAAGGACTACGACATTAACCGGACAGTCCGAAGTTCTGATGTCTCACACGCTGATAAGTTGCGTCACAGCCGAATTCCGGCGCAGCTATTCGACCTTCTCATACGCGCTCGGTGTCTCAAATGAATTCACCTCAAAACGGGGCGCCCTTCATGGGACACCGACCTATCGCCAGACGTCGAAGAATCGTCCTTGGCCTAGGGGATGATTCATCAGACGAGGTTACAGTTGATGATCTGTTCCCTCCAAAGTTACCACCGCTACCACGTAGCATCAGTGAGTTATTCAGAGCCAGCATAACGACAGATGCACGGTGATCTTCGGAGCTACCGCTTGGCTACCGTTTCAAAAGACACTGCTAGTATATTCAAGCTCGTTTTCGACGAGCTAAACATCCAAATGGGCCATTACAGGATTTTGCAGAGTTGTCGCAATTGTTTTCCCGTTTTTGGCATGAATACTCGTATAATACGTGTAGTCGAGGCTATGGAATGAATGACAATTAATGCTCCTATGAACGATGAACTTATGAGATAGGGAAAGCCTCTGTCTACACCGTGTAATGATCTTCAGCGGAAGAGCTTTCCTCTTGATATTGTTATGCAATTTTAACAGTCAACTGCGGCGCCGCTCGCGCTGCGCCACCACCTAGTACTAAGCGAATACCGCCAACTCTTACGATTGCTTGCCGACCGCTGCCGCAGGAACAGATGTAGGCACATTCTGGCTGCTTGAGCTGCTGACATTCGCCTCGTAGTGGTTCTGGTCCATTATGCTCCAGTCGCCAATCTGCTCGCCACCAAACTGATCGTAGTCCAGACCCATCATCTCAGCCTCTGAAGTGACGCGAAGGTGCATGCCAGGAATGAACTTCAGGATGTACAGAAGAATGCAAGAGACGACGAAAGAATAAGAGGCGATGGCGACAATCTCGGCCAATTGGCGACCGATCTGAACGCCCACACCGTCCATGCCGCCGAGGCCGTCGTAGGGACCCATACCGTCAAGGTCGTAGATCCAGGCTTGGCCGAAAATGCCAGTGAGGAATGAACCAACCATGCCACCAATTCCGTGGAGCTTGAAGACATCCATGCCTTCGTCGATCTTGATCCACTTGTCGACGTTCTGGCAAAGAGAACAGATAGCGGCAGTAAGAAAGCCGATGAGGGCAGCAATCCAAACAGAAACGTAACCTGCAGCAGGAGTGATGCCGACAAGTCCAGCAATGGCTCCTGAGCAAGCACCGACCACGGAAAAGTGACCCTTAGTACGGACGTACTCCACCGATACCCAACCGAGCACGCCAAAACTAGCGGCGGTGTTGGTGTTGAACGCAGCCAGCATCGAGCGGACGGTACCGTTGAGAGCACTGCCTCCGTTGAAGCCGAACCACCCAAACCAGATGAATACAGTGCCTATAAAGACAAGCGTGGGGTTATGGGCCTTTCCGTGAATCTTGTCACCTTTGTGTAGACGCTTGCCCAGAACGAAAGCGTACGCGAGGGCGGACCAGCCGGACGCGATGTGAACGGGACCGCCACCGGCGAAGTCAAGTGAGGGAAGGTTGAATAGCCAACCATTTCTAGGATCCAATTAGCTCAGTTTGGGAATCATGATCGCGAGACTTACGCGTTCCATGTCCAGCAAGCAATTGGGCAGTACACGATAGTCGCCCAACAGAAGGCAAAGACCATTGAAGGTAGAATACGACCACGTTCAAATGATCCACCAATGACAAGCTGCACAGTGCATGCGCAGAAGAGCATCTGATAGAGACAAAAGACGATTTCGGGCAAGAATGACGAACCGGGAGATGGCGCAGACATGACATTCTTGAGGCCGAAGTTGTCCATATTACCAATAAACGGACTGGCAGTGCGAGAATACGCGAGCGTGTAGCCCCAGAACATCCACTGGAAGGTGACAACTCCCATGACTGCAAAACTTTGGAATAACATGGAGAGTGCGGACTTCCGGCGCGCTAGACCAGAGTAGAGGAAACCAATTCCAGGTATGATCAGGAACACAAGGAAGGCCATGATCATGAGGTAGATGTAGTGGAACTCCAGGCCCGTATACTGGAGGTTGATATTCTCGACATCCGGATTGCCGCCATTGGGCTTCGCCGGATCGAACTCGGGCTATACCGTTGTTAATCATGTTGCGTAGCAAATTACAGTCTTAGCTGGGGATACTCACGGTAGGTGGTGGCTCCATGATTGAAAGGACGTCAGTATATGGACCAGAACTGGAACGTCTAGGGTACTCTGTAAAGCAAAGACGAAATGGGCGGGGGCTCTCCAGGCTGAAATATCTTCCCACATGTTCTTTCACGCCATTTCGCCAATTTCAAGGGACCGAGATTGATGCGGCCGTTGAGCCCCTGCCCGCCTTTGACGCCCACACATGCGAAGCTGCTGTGCCCCCAACGTCGAACATGGCCCGTCTTGGCAGCGATAAGCAGGGCGTTCCGAATCCCATAGTGATGGAGCCGAGCTTACAATGTGGAGCTTCTGGCTTGGGTGGCTGTATTTGGCCTGAGATTTGGTGCCGCGAAGGAATGCGAAGAAAGTAAGCGGGCCGGACTGGATGTCGCAAAGGGCCAAGGACCATAAGCCACGGTCGCGCTTGTACCAAAGGGTGAAGGTAGACTCTCAGGGTCTTGGTGGCTGATAAGAGACAGGATCAAAGCGGTATAGTCACTTTGGCCTGAATGATAAGCCAGGATCAGGGATGATTGGATAGGATGGACGGCCTGCCGAAGGCCCTACGATAGTTTACGACATCGTCCTGTGTAACGCAGTATGGCGATAATATGACGATAAGATGGACGGATATTGTCATCCTACTCTTGCGTGCTGCGGTGCAGCCGTTGTTGGCGGCTGATTTGATCCCGGTGGTGGTCCGTGTATCCGAACACCAGGTTCATGCCAACGCCACGAGGCTGATGCTAGCATACTTCTCTTTGAATCAGTCCTGTTGAACTTCTTAACTGCGCAAATACATCAGTGGCCGTTGTGATCCTTAACGGGAGTCTTGCAGCATCGGGCGTTCCGTGAATAATTAGCTCCTTCTTGAACAAGTGCCATGTATTCCAAGTGTCGCCATGTGCTGTGCCGCAAGGACGCGAGACCAGATGGACTGCACAGTTATTACCTGCTTCTCAAACCAACACGCGGTAAGGGGTACCTGCAGAGTTAAAACAGGCTGCTGGGTACCGCAATATCCATACACTATGGTTAGCGGTGGCTCATCTATCACAGAGCAACTTGTCCCGCTGCACTGAGCGTTAGGGCGTCCTTGGCTACTTCTGCCGCAAGACTCTTTTCGCTTGGTCGTATGATGGTTAGATACCTCGTCTCATCTCGTTTCGTTTCGTCTCATGAGCTAATGACATCTTCTAATGTACGTAGCAGGAATCTTAGGGATGCGCATCGGCTCAAGCACCAGCACCAGCATCATCAAGATCTCCTCTGGTTGGGATATCTAGTATCCGGCAGAGAGACCAGGTTTCTGCGAGCCAACTCATTGAGCCAGCACTGTTCTTGCCTCGGCGTGTATGATGAAGCACGTACCGCGGCGTTCAAGGCGAGGAGGGCTTCCGCTCATGTGAGGAGGCATACTGCTAAGTTCTACACGGCCTCCAGATTTATCTATATAGCCGTCAGAGTATCCTGGATGCATTATGCGATAGTACATACGTTGCACGAGGAAGTGAAGCGTCTGCCAGCATGCAGCTGGCGCTCGTTTCAATGCTACTGACGGCCTCGCAGGAACCCAACCAGAGCACCTGGGTTCCGACCAGTTAGGCACGACGTCTGCATCACCATAGTACGATGTGCCACAGGGTATAGCGTCGATGCTTGTACTGCTCTATGTCGTGTTGGCGAGAGGGTAGCGCTTCGGGTCGCTGCGAGGGTGTGGTTTTCGCCAAGAAGACCGAGGAGCTGCCGTTGTTTGGTTGCTCGGCCGCTCCCAAACACCAACCTTTGGCCCATCACGTATAACCACGAGCGCGCCCGCTATGCACAAACAAACAGGAATGGACGGCATCGTCCGGAAAGCATTCGAGGTCCACAGCACTACCGACAGTCTCGATCCGAGGCACGAGCCTCCATGTTAGAACGCTCAGGATATAAGTTGGATACTACGACCTTTAGCGGACCAGAACCACTCTACATCCACCACTGCGAGCGAAGTTTACTGCTGGAGCCGGCTATCGCAATTACAACATGCATAATGATGGCGCGACACCCCGCATAGCTTTCCTCTTCACCCCTCCTCCAGGCAGCCTCATCTCATGAGCTGCTTCTTCCGCTTCGCCCAACATCAACAGCAGGTGGGCAGCCCCAATGTGGCCGTTCAATGAGAGCTCCCAGCTGCGTTCATCTGCTAGTAGCATCGGAAGACATGCGAGAGTGGATACCTTACGAGAAGAACTCCACGCTATGATACTACAAGACGCGACAAACCTACCTCCAGGTCCCGTTTCGTCCGATACGGCCCTTCCTTCCTCTCCCGAGTATCCTCGCATCCGGCCTTCGCCTCAAGCGCGGATCCTTGCAGCTATCGCAGATACAAGAGGAACACATACAGCGGTACTTGAGTCTGGGCCGCGAAGAAGGTCAGCTCATAGCAGTGTCAGTGATGCACGGCGGTTTGGGTTTTATCTCCCAAGCGCTACTGCGAGCGAGAACAACCTTGCGCTGCATCGACCTGGACCATTCATGCTTCACGACTTACATGAGCGCACTGCCAGCCTCCCACTCGCTTCTTCAGCGGCAGCGGCAGCGCTCGAGCGCGGTGTTCCACGTCAACCTCAGACATCCCCGCATCGATTTGACGACGTAACCAACCATGGTCCACCGCCAAAATACGTAGCATTCGATCCCTATCCTTTCTTCGGTGTCGAGCCAAGAACCCGTCGCCGATCAACTATACAGGTCATCGAGACCGTCTGCAAGGATGGGTTCAAGGTTACAACAGGCAAGGTGGGCAAGAGTTTCGTCAAGCACGTCGAGGATGTAGGCAAGATAGCGAAGGACGTACCCAGCGCCTTGAAGGGAGCTCAGGTGAGATTGAGTTCGAAAAGGGCCAAGGGGAAACTTCGCTGGTTGGAAAAACGCAACTACCTGAGTGGGCAGGAGAGGCTTCTGACGCAAGCTCTCGTTGGTTGAGGCGTGATGTTATCCTTGGTGAATAACCCGGAGATACATCATCATGTCTACTAGAGTCACCAGGTGTAGGAGGATGGGAGACAAGTGAAGAGCGCATGAAAGGTGCTATCTGCACTTTCCAGCAAGTTCGCCACAGCGGAGCGTATCTTCGGCAAGACAGAGTGGATACCGTTGAGGGCTGTGGTCCGAAGAATGGCTTCTGGATGATTGTATCGAAGCTGTTTTCCCGTCAAGGCTATCGACTCAATTCCCGGAAGCACGCGGGTAGACAGGAAACTTGGTCTGTCAATCAGATATTTCAACTTAGGTCGTTTTAACCTGAACAAGATAAATGCCGTTCTGTCTACCGTTCTTGTACATCCCTATGCTCCTCTGCTTCCACCTCGCCGTTTCTTACTTCCCATTTCGAACAGGTAGCTACTACATTCATTGTACGCTGCGAGTTTCGAAGTCATCCTAGGACAAGATGCCGCCGGCCACCGAGTACAACAAGTCTGGTGCTCCGAGAGTGGATCTTCGCAGCGCGATAGGCCTGCTACAAAGCTATCACACGGCCATCGATGGCAAACCGGATGTGGAAAAGCCCAGCCTTGTCGACTGCCGTCGACAGCGTCCAGATCCGCTTGATGTCAACAATCTGACTCTAGGCGACGTGGACGAGCTAACCGGTCTATCGCGCAGCCATGCAGGAATACGATGACTTTCTTGGTCAAGTGTCCCATGAAGCACCGCTCGGGATGATACATGAGGCTCAGAGGAAAGCTCATACCCGGGGTAGACTGTCACCAGAGGCTCGACTACAACGATCATACACCCAAAAGGTAAGGCTGTCATCCTCATTGCGAGATCATGAGAAGAAGATCAAGGTACCGCATGGATGGGCGCAGGAGTTGTCCCAAGTCGTATAGCTCCTCCCAAAGAAGAGCACCCAACCCCATCGCCAAAGCCAGTCCCAGAGGCTGACCAACATGGTTATTACACCTTCGGCGAGGAGATCAGTCTTAAATGTGAGGGTGGCAAGATTGTAGTCAAGGGCCACAAGTACTAGATCTTCGCCGGGTGAGAGGAAGAACGCACATAGCAATCACCGTTTACAATTAAATCATTGACATAATACTATACCTGGAGCTGATAGCCATGTACTTGTCTCACGACGTCTATCATGTCTGTGTCATGTGTTTTGGCTAACGCGTTGATGTTGGTAGGTGGCGGCGAGACCATCAATGATCCAAACAAGCGTGAAGTATCCGCTTGCAAAGTTGATCGAGTTCGTCTGTTGTCATCTTGACCTTGAGGCGAAGGTAATGGATCAAGTAACCCAAGTTGACAGAGCAGCGCGTGTAATCTGGGATACCAAACGCGCGAGTGCACTTGCATCACGGGTTGAGAGGAATACCTCTCAGAAGCTCTTCAAGACCTCTCAAGACAAAGTCCAGACTCTACTGGCTGAGTTGGTCGCTTCGGCCGACGCCCACAAGGACGCCATGGATGAAGTCTGCCTGTATAGGTGGAGCGTGAGAACTCCAGAGGTTCTGCGAGATGAGGTTCGTGACGCGGCGTGATCGATCGGGCAGAGGCTGTCGGAAGAGTAGTGACGTTCGCTGTTGAGTAGGCCCCGAGGCTGGCTGTGTGGCTGAGGCCAACGCGTCACTCACGCGTCTCTCGAACCTTTTTTGCTTATTTGAAGGGCGGATGGGAATGCGCGGAGTAAGCACGGCCACAGACGCGCTGCATGTGTTAGGAATAGTGATATACCGTCTCTCCTGCGGGATGATGCATATGTACCTTGAAAGAGTGTCGCGTGACGGTGGGATTTCCAGTGACGTAGGTCCGTGCGAATATCAAACAGCTGGAGCTCCGCCCCGCCGCTTTCATATACAAGGCAGCAGCCGTCAACACCGCAACACTCATCTTTTCTCTCTCACTGCAACCATTCAAGCTTCATTTTGTCCACTCTACCCGTACATCACCCACACCGCCATCATGATGAACTTCGTGCTCTCCCTGCTCCTCCAGCTATCTATGTTCATGCTCGCCGAGGCAGCCCCCATTACGGCGCAGTCAGCTAAGCCCTGGCAAGCTGGCACCGGTGGCGGTATCATTGGATTCATTGTCCTCGTCCTCGACATCATCGCGTGGAGTAAGTAGCCGCAATGTCCCTGACAACACCGTTGTCATGCATCGATCAAAGCTAACATGTGCTGTAGTCGAGATCTTCAAGTCCAACCGTCCCGTCCCGAACAAAGTGCTCTGGGCCCTCGTCGTCTTCCTCTTCCCCGTCGTCGGCATGATCATCTACTACCTCTTCTCCAACCGCCAAGCCCACAACACCTACGAGCCCATCCCGGCATAGACGAGCCAGATAGGCTACGCGCATACAAGGCTTCACGCGCCCGAAACGACCGCGCGTCCGTGTACGCTTACGCGCCTGTTGGGACGAGCGCATGTGCCGTCGCGAGAGCACAGGGGAAGAAAATGGCTACCAAGACATCCTACATGTGAGGATTGGCTGCCGCTGATGATGTACAGGTTATGTTACTGGTATCTGGCGTAACGGGTTCAATGCTTCATACCCTTTGACATGACAATCAATTTCATTTATAACCACCTAATTACTTCCCTTCGAGCTGAAGCCCCTACCCCTTCGTGTAGGCTAACAATCCTCTTCTCCTTCCACAAGACAGATCCCTTGCCACACCCTCTCAAACCTTCCCCAAGATACCTTCCGCGGTGGCGAATTTAGCAGACAGTGCAATGAATCCACCCATCAAACTCATCACGCCACTGAAAATCGACACTTCCTTGAACCCGCCGTACCGATCGATCAGCGCGCCATTGATTGGAGGGCCGACGAGAACAGCGAATGCTGCAACACCCATACCCATACCCATGTACGTGCCAAGATTCCTCGGGTCCTACAACGGTGAAGATATGAAGTCAGTGTATGTCTCATGCATTTTGTACAGTTGTGACTCACCTTTGTACACTTGGAAATGGCTGCTGAGCCAGCCGAGATGATAGTACCCGATATAAAACCGAACATGACCGAGTAGACAATGATACCAGCGTTAGTCGTTGGCTCGTTGATGCAGAACACCACGATGGCGGTGCCAATGCCGGCGAAACCGAACATGTTCATCCCGCCCAGCTTATCCGCGAGTATTCCCGGAATGATACGACCAAACGTCGAGGACCCGTTGATCATGGCGAGGAGGTACGATGCGAGTAAAGGCTTCATGCCTCGGCTAACAGCATAGACTGGGAGGTAGAAGACCGGTATCCACATGCCCATCATCATGAAGAACAGTGCTGCAACGAGCAGTACGTATCGCTTCATCTTCCATGCTTCGCCGAGGAAGACTGTTGTCTTGCGGGGTGGGATGCGCGGCTTGACGACGAAGCAGGCAAACATCATGAAGGGAAGCATGATAAAGGCGATGATACGAATGCACCAGCCAAAGGACAGAGACGAGTCGTTCAGAAGTTTGGACAGAACGATTGGAAAGATGACACCGCCGATAGAGGATCCTGATACCACGATACCGAGGGCGGCGGCGCGCCGCTTGTCGAAGTAATGTCCCATTACTGCAAAGGCAGGTGTCTGGAGGAAGACTACACTGGAGCCCATGAGGACAGACTGTGCGAGAAAGAACTGGTAGTACTCGCTACACAATGATAGCATCATGAGGCCAAGGATGTAGGTAAGTGTCGCAGGCCGCATCATCTATCAGTTCAGGTCAGTACGACGTCAGTGTCACGCTGGTCGAGCATACGTACCCAAGCTCCGAATCGATCGAACATCGGACCCCCAACCGCGCCTCCAGCAAACTGGATGAAACTTGTCAGGCTGCCTATCCAGGCGATCTGGTCCATGGTATGATCTTTCAATTGATGAGTAGAGTAGTATTGTTGTAGGACGCCGAAGCAGGATGTAAAGCCGAGGCAGCAAAAGAAGATGCAGAAGCCGCCTAGAGCGTTTAACCAAGCCGTTAGTCCACCGTCAGGAGCAGGACCCAAAGCGGCGATTTCGGCGTCAATAGTTGCTTGGCCGTTATCGTGGGCTGATCCGATAGATGCTTTCTCAACGTCATAGGAGGGAATGGAGGGGGTGCTGGTGCCAGCAACGGCGTTGGGTTGATTTGTTCGTGTGGACATCCTGACTTTGTATAGGGGAGACTTGGATCAGATTTCTGTGGCTCTAAGACTGTCGAGAAGTTGATGAGGGCTACAACGCTCGTCTTGACGGTGTATAAATACAATCTTGTTGCTTGTCATATCGTCATGAGAAGAGGTTTTCGGTCTCGGATTCATCCAAAATCGGAGATAAGGGCCCGCGCTAATTGGTCTATATCCCGAAGTGCAGCTAAATCTGAATGTTGGAGGTAACAGCCGAAACTTATCCCCGCTCCGCTGAATTCTTATACCCATCCAATACCTTCTACACGTAATAACTTCGGTTTTCCGACTGAATAACTCACATTCCATGATGACTGACTTGACCCGCAGACGCAAGAGGCCTGCTATGTGAGTTTATCCGGGCCCCCAAGTTTACCTAGGAAGAAACTTAACACCCTGGAGCCTACATTGACATTAGGTCGCCTACTTTGCATGTTTTCATCTTGCTGTAGTCTGCAAATCTGTTCACATTTTCCTTGTATGAAGTGCCCCTATGCTAGGACCGAAGCTAACCACGGGCATATCCAGTTCTTGCACATTGTGCCGGAAGCGAAAGCTACGCTGCAATCGAGAAACGCCTTGCAGTAACTGTCTGAAGAGCAAGACTGGCTCTTGTGTCTACGAAACTGGAGTGCCGGATAAAAGGCAAGTAATATTCGTGTATTCGTGTATTCGTGTACGAATTGATGTGAGACATTTACTAACTTTGTACATCGGTCTTTAGGCCTGCCACAGCACCTTTCACACCCATCCAACCGTACATCGGAAACCCGACATCCATGAGCTCACCTAACATACCCTCAAGCTCATCAGTTACAGCGCCCAATACCGGCAATGACCGGAGTCCTTTCGAACTTGATGCCATGAGAGCACGTATCGCCGAGTTAGAAGACAAGTTATCGCGAGCTGAAAGCATTACTACCCTCTCGCCATCGGCCTCGACTCCTGTGTCGACGCACACTGTACAGACTGTCAGCAGCTTTGCCTGTACAGTAAATGTCCTCCAAGACACCCGGATGCCTAGCGGTACAGCTATCTCTCGAGGCATTGCACACAAAAACCGAGTTTTCGGACAGAGCCATTGGATGAATGGATTCGTGATATTCCGTGATATCATCGAGACAATGGAGCCCTATCTGCGAAGCGGAACATCCAACGTAATCACCAGTATGCACCGAGCAAAGCCTTTAGCCCGGATCATCAAATCACAACGCTCCCCAACCTGGCCTACGTCTCCAACAAGAGACCTTCCTCCGAAGCATGTTTGCGATGATCTCGTCGCTGCCTATCTTCGAAGTTTGGAGACTCTCTACCGCGTGCTGCATGTCCCTAGCTTCCAACACGCTTACGATAATATGTGGAAAGGCGAGTCAGACTCCAACATGGCATTTGTGATGATGTTAAAGTTGGTCTTGGCGATTGGAGCCATGATGTACGACGATAAAGTGTCCATGCGAGCCAATGCGGTGAGATGGGTCTTCGAGGCCCAGACCTGGCTGTCATCGCCCTTGTTCAAATCGAAACTCGGTATCCAATATCTACAGATCAGCATCCTCCTCCTGATCGCACGAGAGCTTGTCGACGTTGGTTCTGAGCTTGTTTGGATTTCAGCGGGCGCAGTGTATCGAGCAGCGGTGTATATTGGTTTGCACAAGGACCCGTCGCAGCTCCCGAGTACGACGGCTCTTGAAACTGAGATGCGCCGCCGGATATGGAATACGATCCTGGAGTTGTCACTTCAAATGAGCATGGGATCGGGCGGTCCGCCGTTCATCTCATCGGACGACTTCAACACAGCGCCACCAAGCAATCTGGACGATGAGCAACTCTTGGACGCAGACCCTATTGCAAGAGCAGATCATGTGTATACGCATACATCCACTGCTATAGCTCTGCGCAAGAGTCTTCCGGCTCGGCTTGCGGTACTCCGATTTCTGAACGACATCAACTCGAGCGGAACATATGAGGAGACGCTTCGAATCGACTCAGATCTAAGAGCTGCACATAAGCTCTTGCGTCGCACCCTACATGCATACACCTCACATACCAGCTCGTCCCCCTCGCAGTTTACTCTTCAAGCTGTAGAGTTTATAATGCAGCGCTACGTTACCTGCTTACATCTTCCATTCTTCGCTTCTGCACTCAAGAATCCGGTCTATGCCTATTCGAGGAAAGCTACTGTCGACTCCTCGCTCAAGATCTGGAGTATGGCTTGTCCGAATGCAGGCGTGAGCTCATGTCGTCGGAGCGAGACCGACTTTGCTCGCATGTGCAGGTGTACAGCGGGGTTCTTCCGAATGTATACCTTCCACGGGGCGACATTTCTGGCTGCTGAATTGCGAATGCGGATACAGGAAGACGAAGATGATCTTGACGCGCTGCCATTATCATTGAATAACATTGTCGATGACGCTGCCAATTGGTACCTCCGCTGTATGGAAGCCGGCGAAACTGGTATGAAGGGCTACCTTCTTTTACGACTCGTCCGTGCTTGGATTGACGCAGAGAGTCATCATGTAGACAAATCAGATTTGTCTGCATTGCTGGCGGGAGCCGTAGAAGACGCTGCTCGTGTTTGTATACCGATTCTGGAAGCATTGGCTGGTTGTGAGGAGCCGTGTCCTGGTACTGCCGCTATGGAGGGCAGCGGTATGGAAGAATTCGATTTCCAGTTCTCACCAGAGTTCACGGAGGATTGGGACATGCTCATGTCGGGGACATTCAGTCTGGACGACGCAGGGGTCTTCGACGCGTTCGTGTCGTGATAATACTAGTTCGCTGAGCCATCGAGCACGAGCGTCGATATGCCGCATCGCGCAGCCTGGAAAGGAGCAGTGGCTCTGATCAAGTAGCTGACGTTTCGTACAATGACAGCGGCTGTCACACATCAGACAGGAGACGCCAAAGGAGGAGATTTCTGGGTCTGTCGCTAAACCCTAATGCATGAAATATCCGTGCGCGGATGACGATGATCCGCACTAACGCTGCTTCCCAATCATCCCATCATCACGCCGCAACCCATCCCACCGCCACAGTTTTCATCGCGAATGACTATTCCATCGCAGCCACGTCTTATAGCTCCGTCATTGACCACTGGTGCTTATGGTGATAACGGCGAGTCGGCGCGGTCCATTGATTTCCACGAGGCACCCTAGCGCCTACCTAGGGGCGCTTAAGAGCCTCCGTGTGACCTGACACACCATCAGCCTCATGGCCACCCCTTGTCCGGCAGTCCACGTCGCAGCGCGGTATGAACGACAGCCATCATCGTTCTTGCGGCCTCATATATCACGACAAAGTGGCCTGATTTTTTTTCTGCTTCCCTTGTCGCCTTCTTTCCTATCCCGAGCTTCTGGTATACCTCAGGCAGTGGTACCAAGCCTCACCACCAACGATCTTTCTTTCCTTTTCGTTCGTCCATTCATTCACTTCTTGAGGCGTGCCGGTCACCAGAATACTCTTCACCTAATAATACATTACTTCTTTTACTTGCTGTCCAGCTCCCGAGGAACCCGTTCACGAAAACATCGATAACGACATCATGCATTCTTCGCTCCTCACAAGTATCTTTCTCGCCTTCTCGGTCTTCCATCTGGCGGCTGCAGGCCCTAATGCTGTTCCTGTCGTCCTTGGCGGCCTCCTCAACACCAAACTCGAAGTTCGCCAAGTCTCCGCCACACCCTCGCAAGCCGATCTATGTCTCGACTACGAACGCACAGCCAACATGTCGACAGTTGGCGCCAACGGCTCCTACCGCACCGTCGTCATGCAAAAGGCTAATGTCGGTACGCTGACCAGCGCACGCATGATGGATGCTGCCATCGCGAAGCTACCTGCGCTCACGGCCGATGCGGATTTGAACACCCGATGTGGAAACTGGACAGAGATCGCACTAGCGGAGGCGGAGAAGAACTTTACGCAAGGGATCGTGGCACAATTTACTACTGAAGGGTTGCCTGTTGGTATCAAGGCTGGACCAGAAGTGTTGGTCATCGTGGGCGTTATTGCCACGCTTATGTCGATCGTATGGGTGTTCCCTGGTTAATTTAGGATGAATGCAAGAGGCATGCTGGAACAAATAGGAGAGGAGAGACCGGAGCGCACAAGAAGAGAATCAGCTATACCCGAACTTCAATACTACAATCAATCGTCGCATGTATACCGTTGCGCGAGCTGCTCTTGATGCTTATATCGAATATGAAAAATGTTCAGAACGAACGAGTTCATTGATGGAATGTAAGTATGTACACGAATAAAGCTATGTACAAGACCGAAACAAGCAATTGCTTCAGTGCTCCTCCCTCTGACTAGCCAATGTGTATCACAAAGGCTGTGTCCTCTCGTTCGTCGTCATGGCCTAGAAGGTGACAACACCCACACCGGCGCTCTTCTGCACAATAGCGCAAACACTGGCCGCTGGATCCACAGTGTACTTGTAGCCCGGCGCAAATGAGCCTTTCTGCGTGATTTGAGTAGGACTGTTGGTGAAGATGTTATCTTTCTCAAGCGCAAAGCCCTCCTCGTCAGAGTCCAAGTTGGTGACAACAGCCTTGTCAACGTTGGTGAAGGAATTAGCTTCAACCAGGACTTGAGCGCCCATGCGCGAATTGACACCAGATATACCACCCGAGTAGCAGGAGCTATAGATGTGGCCGGTTCCGAAGCGGATCGATGGCAGACGCGAGTTGACGCCGGTGAAAGAGTTATGATGGTAGGTTACGTGGAGTTTGCCTTTGTCCTTGGAGGCATTGTTGTCAGAGTGGCCGACTAGCGAGCCCTTCCACTGGTAGGCGTTAGTACTGAGTTTTACATAAGCGTAAGGGAGTGATGAAGACTTACGTGGTCGTGGAACTTGTTCCAAGAGAAGGTAAGCATGTCGGCACCAGACTTGGCGTCGAGTAGGCCATCGTAAGTGTCCTTATCGCCAGTGACACCAACGCTCGAAAAGTCGTTGTGGTCAACCCAAACATTGGTCGAAGCCTCAATATCGATGAGATCTTTCCCCTTTGGCGCGCGGTATAGTTTTAGGTTTCTGATGATGATGTTGGACGTCTTGAAGACTTGGAGGCCACTGTCTGTCAGGCCGGCGTCCTTGCCAACACCGAGAATCGAGGTGCCTGCGGTACCCACACGGACGACACCACACCCAGTGAGCATGCCCTTAATCTTGATCACGCCGCCGGCTTTGGCTGCCGCTGTCAGCTCAGCACAGGAGGTGACAGTGGTTCCAGCCCCACTGCCGCCTCCGGTTGTTCCTTGGGCAAATCCAACGAGCTCATCGACAGCTGCAGCGCGTTTCTCCATAGGTGCACCGTACGCAGTCGACGCAGCAGTCATGGCGACTGTGGCTATCTCGATAAAACGCATCTCGGTGTTGTTTTTGGGCTTGATGAAGCTAGAGACAGAAAAAAGAATGTAAAGGAATGAATAGAGGTCTACTCTGATCTGATGAAAGAAGGTATTGTGACGACAGTTGATGGTCTTAGGGGTATCTTTATACAGATGATCTAGGCTGCCAGGATCTGTACTGGCTCCATGATCGCCAGCCCGGCCGCCCTTTAATACTGTGAATCGCGGAACCAACGTTAGAATGCCAGATGTGGAGTTTCTCCGCGAATATACGACTTTTGTCTTGGCCTCCAAGACGTTTCGAAGAAGCTTCTATAATCCACCAAGGACGTTGATGTGTTGCGGTCTCGTGAGCTAGTACGAGGTTGTGGCTTGAAGGCCGGATATGCATCGCAAACCTGGGGTGCATACCTGGGTAGGCCTCAAAAGCCGACGGCCCTCAATCATTGCATTAGCGCTCGAGCCTCGGAAGTGTTCCTGGAAGCCAACTGAAAGAAGGACACAATTTACAAGTCGGCGCTACTGTTTGACAGCATCGTCCAGAATGCTTGGCTGACAGTAGAGAGAAAGACCACCAATGGGATAAACTTGAGAGGCAGAAGATCGCCATCCTCGTCAAAGAGAGAATTACGGCGGATGTACTTGCTGGAGTGGTATCGATACCTAGACACCGATGAGTGGGCGGAAGAATTGTCGAGGCGCCACAGTGTACCTGACACACGAGGAGGTGGTCAGGTCAATGTAAGCTGGGATGCAGACGGGAAGGGTCGGATTGTCCAGGTCTAGGCCGAATCGAGACTAGTCTCGCAAACACGCCTGTCGAAACCCAAGATATCGCGTCAAACAAGGAAGAGTAATCACGTTCAGCCCATACCGCTGCCTAGGCTTCTTTCTATTCAGGACAGTCGTTCGACTGCATGCTTTACCAACTGAAGTCTTGCGCAGTGTTCGCAGCAGACTGTACAAGATCACAGTCAGGTTCGCCGTGAATTTGCAGGCAGGGTCAGGCAAAGAAGATGCTCGGTTATCTGGTGCGCCTTTAGCGTCGAGTCGAGGTGTTTGAGGCATCTGAACGCCCAAGATCGCCAAGTTTGTATATGATAACCCTCGAAACAGCCGTTTCTAGGCGCATTTCCTTTCGACGCCAGTTCGGCGGTATACGCTCCGCGCCTGAACTTCGGCTACACCACGGTGCACTTTCCTGCAGCTCTGCCAAAGAGCACACTTTCCAGGACAAATGTATTGTCGTCCGTCTCCGAATGATGCGTTCCAGCAGCCGAGAACGAGACTGGCGTTGGCTGAGATCAGCGCCACCTGCGTACTTTCACGAGGCCACGACATGCGCCTCAGGACCCAGCTGAATATAGCCATTATCGAGATGGGCAGGGTGATTGTGACCAAGAAAGTATCGTTGGTAAAAGTCTTCCTCAAGTCGTTTGCGCAACTTGACCCCACGCGCTCTTGTGATTGCTCATTGACAGAGTAGATCAAGAAACAAGTATTTACAAAATTGCATGGATACACCCAGTCGCGAAGAACCTCTCTAAGCACGTTATCTATTCTTCCTGACCGGAATCCCACAACTCACCTGCAGATCAAAATCGGTCATGGCTGATAACGTTAGCAGATACCTGCAGGTATCACAAACGTGCTTCCTTTGTAACAGAGCTTTCGGTCCAGACCACGCGCCGGCCGCATTACGAGCTTGTGGACATATATTTGGCTACCGTTGTCTCTCGATCATTCTTAATGGTGGCGACGTCGACTTGGAGAGCACTTGGCCTGACATACCCAGCATTGGAATCAAGGGTGCCGAATGCCCAGAATGTCAGGTTCCGATTACGAACCTCGATAGCGAGCAGAGAGCGCTGTCAATCCTCGGCGACATTAGCTCTGCTATACCGGACCACCGGGACAAACTCAACGCCTTCGTCGAACAGCTACGCGATAGCGTCGCAGACACCGATCCTGATGTCGAACGTCAGGACATTCTACACTTCTTCAAGAAATGCTACACGAGCGACGGAGATGACATCCTGCAAAAAACTTTGCAAGATGCAGCAAGCGCCGGAGATTATTTCTCGCCGTTTCATGACGCGATTACCGCTTCTCGCGGTGCCAGTCCTCAACCCATGGCTTTTCCGCTCATTCGACTCTGTTTCCTACTCTGGGACGCCCACAACGCGATCGAGAGGAAGACAAGCCTGGCGATCAACATACTACTGTGGGAAGCCAACCGCTGCTTGGGTGTCAACAACCCATTGGTTCAGTGGGAAGATGTCGAACAAGCTGCCGATTTGGAAAATGCTCGACTCTTCCCATTGCTACATGGACTGACGATGCTGGTGTCCCAGGGCCTTGCACGCAATGGCTTGGCGGACCCCTGGCCTGAAGAAAAGAAGCTCGATCTTGCGCAACAGTTGGCGTATGAATGTATTGGTCCGCATTTCGAGGGTAAGCCTTCAGATGTGTGGCTGGGAAAGCTGGCGCTTGTTGTGAACGAACTAAAACGTCATCAATTCGAGATGGGTAGGAAGCCATTGACGGGCATCGCAGCCGAGAAGAGCATCGTTCGAGGCTGGTGGGCGATTGCGCATGCGGAAGTCGATGAGTCTGATTGAGGTGGTGTATGTGCTGCCTCATGCATGTAAGCTACGATTGGGATAGCCCTAGGGATGGCTAACATTCGTGTCGCATTCTTCAAGAATATTAGCTGAATGAATAGAGTGCGACTTTGACTCAGACTGCGGTCTAGTCCTAGTCGGGCTAGGTTATTGAAATTGTACTTCGTTATACGGTATGATTGCGATAGCTTTGATGTTGTTCGCTAGAGTGTCTGGTGTGTCACCGCAGTACCGTGGTCGTCGGCGGGGCTGATGATTCGGAGAGACGCTGTTGTCAAGAATATTAGCAGAAGTACACATCATCTTATGTACTACTTATTTGCTAAGATGTAACATGGTGTATGCTGCAATCGCATCTTGCGAAACAAATTCTAGCCACCCTCAGTAAAAGGATCTCTTTGCTGCGCACATAATAGAGATAGTTTCTTGAGTTCTCTGTTTTCCTGTTCACGCCCGATTCCGGGCTCAGCCCGGCGTGACGCGTCTTGGAGCGCTAGAATTGTAGAACAAGCTAGACTCGCGGGAAGATCCGTAGTTCCATACTAGCCGTAGACGGACATGTCGTATATCGTATTTGCGTAATCTGCGTATTCCGTAGTGAAACGATGATGATAAAAGTCGCCGGCTGCCAGAATTGACTTGCCAGAAGCAACATTTTTCTCTTCACCACATTGCCCTTCATCATGGGAGTAAGACCAGACAGCACCCAAGCGCCGATACCAGTAGAGTCTGAACGCGACGATGACGCATATCACTTCGGTGCACCACCACCGTATACTGCGGAAGAGCTGACGGGCTCAATACCACAGCCAGGAAATACTGGGGTGACGAGCAAGAGCACCCCGTCTCACCATTCATGACTATGCTAATTGGAGCAGGTGACGGTCGCATCGACATTGACCTGAACTCACGACTGACCAAAACACTTGTCAAGCTCGTACCGAAGCATGAAAAGGATGAGCCAGAACTAAGTCGAAGGTTTACCGTTAGCCGACTATGGAGTATCCGCATGAACATCGTCATCCAAGTCGTAGGTAGTCGAGGCGATGTACAACCGTTCATTGCTCTCGGACAAGAGTTACAAAAGTACGGCCACCGTGTACGCATAGCGACACACAACACATTCGAAGGTTTCGTACAGGAGTCAAACCTGGAGTTTTATCCTATTGGCGGGGATCCTAAAGAGCTCAGTATGTTTATGCAGTGAAGGTCCGTTGGTACCTCGTTAACATGCAGCAGTGGCCTACATGGTCAAGAACCCAGGGTTGATACCGTCCATGAAGAGCCTTCGCGAAGGCGATATCCAAAAGAAAAGGGAAATGATCGCCGAGATGCTCTATGGCTGCTGGCAGTCATGTATTGAACCGGACATCAAAACTCAACAGCCCTTTGTGGCAGACGCAATCATCGCCAATCCGCCTAGTTTCGCGCATGTACACTGTGCCCAAGCTCTGGGTATCCCACTCCATCTCATGTTTACCATGCCTTGGAGCAGCACCCGAGCCTTTCCGCATCCGCTGGCGAACTTCAAGAGCGACGAAATCTCGACCGCCCTAATCAACTATGCATCGTATGGCGTCGTCGAATTTCTAACGTGGCAGGGTCTGGGTGATGTCATCAATGGATTCAGACATTCCTTGGACCTCGAAGAGGTGCCACTATCAGTTGGACCTGTACTTGCTTCTGCACTCAAAGTGCCCTTTACGTACTGCTGGTCTCCGGCATTGGTTCCGAAGCCACCTGATTGGGCAGCGCATATCGATGTTTGTGGTTTCTTCTTCCGAGAACCAACGCCGTACACACCGCCTCCGGAAATTGATCAGTTCCTGAGAGACGGACTTCCACCGGTATACGTCGGCTTCGGGAGTATCGTCCTTGACGACCCTGCAAAGGTGACATCAAGCATCCTGGAAACCGTACGCGCCCTGGGTATCAGGGCGATTATCTCAAGAGGATGGAGTAACCTTGGGGGCGACTTACCAAACGACAACAACAACAACGTTCTGTTCATCGGCGACTGTCCCCACGAGTGGTTGTTCCAGCATGTTGCAGCGGTCGTACATCATGGCGGAGCAGGTACCGCTGCATGCGGCCTACGTAATGCGTGTCCTACTGTTGTCGTACCATTCTTTGGAGATCAGCCGTTCTGGGGAGAGATGATAGCAGCAGCGGGAGCAGGTCCACAGCCTATTCCCCATAAGCTTCTGACGACCGAGAACCTTACAACGGCTATCCACTTCTGTCTCACGCGCGAGGCAAAGCAGGCTGCACGGGTCCTATCTTCGCAGATGGCGAATGAGCGAGGCGTCGAGGCAGCAGTACAATCTTTCCACACTAATTTGCCCCTCGAAACTATGCGATGCGCACTGCTACCTACACAGGTGGCATCATGGAAGGTCAGGAAAGAATCCATCCTTCTTTCCAAATTAGCGGCACAGATACTCATCGAGAATGGTTCCATTGTTCCCTCGGATCTCGAAAACCACGAAACAGCTCCTTTCGTCATTACCAACCAACGCTGGGATCCCATAACAAGTACAACTTCGGCGTGTGTTGGCATTGTCGGAGACATGAGTATGGCAATGAAGGGCATGGTTGTAGATCCATTCATTGAGCCCAAGCACCCTGCTACGTCCTCGAGCGCTTCAGTATCTTCGGAAAAGCCGGGTTCAAATGGCGTGGCCGCCGCAGGTCGCTTTGCAAAAGGCTTTGGTAGATTTGTGGGTGCATTCTACAAAGGTGTCGTCGTCGACCTCCCCCTCGCTACCACAGAAGGGTTTCGTAACGTACCAAGGTTGTATGGTGAAGAGGTCAAAGACCATGGGGAGGTCACTGGCGCTCTTTCTGGCTTCCAAGTCGGTGGCAAGACCTTCATCCATGGCTTCGCCGACGGTCTCTCGGACCCCTTCCGTCAGACGTATGAGGGCGGTAAGAAAGAGGGCGCGATCGGGTACGCGAAGGGCTTCGGCAAGGGAATGTCCGGACTGGTTACGAAAACTGGCGCAGCAACCCTTGGAATCATAGCATACCCTGGAGATGGCATTGTGAAGAGTATGAAGTACCTGGCGAAAAGCGGCACCAGAAAGCGTATCAAAGCGGCAAAAAGGGTAGAGACTGAGTGGATGGGCCGGAAATCTGAGGCTGACCAGAGAGCTGTGGAACTCGTTCAGGAGTTCGAGAGACTAAGGAAGGGCAAGACGAAGGTGAAGACGTAAGGGACGAGATGATCTGCGGCGTTACGAACTTTGGAGTCTGGACACATACCCTATTCAAATGGTTATTTCTTTGCTTCCGTGACCAGCGCGAGACCAGACCAGTTCTCATTCCGAGTCAAAGGCTCATACCCACCTGTGTTCCGGCGTGTGGTAACGGCGGACGGCCACGCCCTTGCACCCTATTTAAGGGAAAATCTAGACAGGTGCTCTGAAGTCTACATACACCTAACATTTCAAGTTTGTATGTTGTTAAGGTATTGTAGCCTCCTTAGCTGTTTTTTCTAATAGTTGTACTTCGCGCAGATAGGTATCTTGTTTTTGCCTTAGATAGGGCGAAACGAGGAGGTGGGTCCACTGGGCTGCCTAATTTCCGTGACTCCGAATCCCGCCGTCTGTACCAATTACCAAGCGCGTGCACAGCCAACCCCATCATGCTAGTCTTCTTCGCAACCAGACTGAGTACCTAGACACAGTTGAGCTCCGATCATGGAAGCGGATGCAGTAGCCAAGACCCCGGCGCCGTACGGCCAGGCATGTAGCAACTGCGTGAAAGCCAAATGCCGGTGTATGATACGCGACGGCGGAGGTATCTGCGACAGGTGCGTCACTACTTTCTTGACCAATGCGCTCTCGTTGGAGCAATCTTACCAGGCACCTCATACAAGGAGAAAGCTGAACACCCTGGAGCCTACATTGGCGTTAGATCGCCTCATCTGCATCTTTTTATGTTGATGTAGGCTGCAGGCCTGTTCAGGTTTTTCCTTGAATAACATCGCTACCTTCTGCGCATACAACTTATCTTGGAATTGGGACTAACTTGAGATCGAAGATGTCACCGCCTAAGTAAAGAGTGCACAGCTTCGTCAGCAGTGCGCAGGAGGGCACCCAGATCAAATCAGCCGACCAAGCGATCAAAACTGGAGGACAAGCTCGATGAAGTTGTCTCGTTGCTTCGAACACAGCGCGCAGCGCCCCCCACGGCATCGCCCAACGATCAGCTCGTGCTAACACCTGACTCCTCTATACTTCCCCACAGTTTGACAAGGAGTCCTGACAGCGATACATACTTGTCTAATCATCAGTTGCATGACTTCCGGACGAGTTATTTGTATTATTTCCCCTTCATGCACATATCTGAGAATGCTACCAAGGACGATCTCCATCTCAGATATCCGCTGCTCTGCCATGCTATCCGTACGACACTCACCAAGGCAATAACTCAGCAAAGTCAGATGAGCAAACATCTACGGGAACAATTGGCTTCCAAGATCATTGTGCAAGGAGAACGGAGTATTGACTTGCTGTTGAGTGTGATCATGTGTATAGCTTGGTAAGGATGCAGATCATGTACAATTTTTTCCAACTTTAACGCTGTCAGGTCACCGTACTTCACCCATGGAAAACAGTTCCTTGGCTCCATGTGCGGTCTTGCAAAAACGATTGTAAGCGACCTTCGACTCGACAAACCCACGCAACCGACAGGATGTCCAAGTTTGGGTCCTCGTGTAGATAACAAGGAGGTCCGGAAGTGCGAGGGTAGTAGAGCATTGCTATCTGTTTTCATACTGTGCGCTAAGTAAGTTATGAATAAACTCCAGCTTGGCTCAATTAATCGTAGCAGTGTTGCCATCATCTTCGAGTATGACCTAATGCATTGGTCGTCGCAGATGGAAGAAGCATGCGATAGCCTCAGTGCGGACGCAGAATGTGAAGGAGACGTCATACTGGTCGCCGCTGCGCATCTTACAAAGATTGCCGTTAGTGCAGCCGAAGTGTCACGAAGAGCTTCGGATGATCACAACACAGCAAAGCATGCTATGATGGCTATTGAACCTCTGATCTTGTCGCTCAACAACTTCAAGAAATCACTTCCCGTTGAGCAACTACAGCACTGTAAGATCATCATTCTGTCACCTCATTTCGCGCTGAAAGTTATCTAGGGGCTATCATCGGTCTCATTCAAACCGCTCAGGTTGTCATCTACGATCTCGCGCTCTTGAAAACTCCCACGGATGAGCTTTCAGTGTCGCACGTCGCGTTCGAGCCTAGACGTATCGAATACTTTATGGAGCTCCTAGAGACAAGCAAAGCCTGCCGAGAGCATGCTTTGACAGGTGGGATCATAGGCCTGACGGCTCCGTCGATGCTCGTATTTTCCTACTGTATCAAGATCTTGTACAGATTCTCCAGCCTCAAAGGTATTCCAGACTGGATTCCACCCATCGTTCAATCAAGCTTCGATATTGTGCAATGTCTGGAGAGATTTGCCGAGATCGCTGAGCAGGCTAACACTGAATTCAAGGCCCAGACCGGCGAGGATTCCCTATTTGCTGCGGCTGCAGAGACACTAAGGGCTATGGCACCAAATTGGAAACTTCCTACAAGCGGGCATGATGATGCCATGGGTAGCACAGCGGACGGATGGAATGGCGGGTTCGGCGATGTGGGGGTAATGGACTTTTCGAGCGACTTCTGGATGCCTAGTGTTTTCAATCTTTGAGCTATGCGAGCGGGCTTGGCTACATCTCGAGGTCTGGATGGATCAGCTTACAGGCTTTTGCACAGATGGCGAAGGGCACAAAGCTGCACTTCAAATAGGCTCGATATGGTCAACAGGTCATTGCGAGAAGCCTGGGACGGATTTCATGGAGCGGATTTGGCGTCCTGTGGCGCTGTGCTATGCGGTTGCCTAAAGCGCAGCAACTCAAACCCAAAACCCGTTCGCTATGTATTCTATTTTATCTTGCTCTTTCCTGATCATTGCAGATCTGTATCGCTCATTGTCCTTCCGCATACAAATTTTTGACTGCCTTAGCAACACCATTTCGCTTCAAATCTACCACACCCCGAACTGATACTGCTTGAAACGGAATACAAATACCAGCCAGCCAACATGGAAAGCTATGGCAACATGACGCCGTCAGATCAATACCTCAGTGGTCTAAAACTCTTCACCCTTCTCGGCAGCTTGACGCTTGTCACTTTTCTAGTCTGCCTCGACACCTCCATCATGGGTACTGTATGTACCATCTACATCGCTAGTATGGTATTGCAATCCTAACAATCATAGGCTATACCACGCATTACATCCGAATTCCACTCGCTTCCAGATGTAGGCTGTAAGTGTCACTGTGTAACTATAATGTGAGACGTATACTGACTTTGTATACCTGAGCTTAGGGTACATTGGTGCTTTTACACTTGCTTCGTACGTACATCTCTTCCAAAACACTTTTTGATGTGACCTATCCGAAAGAAGTCCAAATTCGTACTGATTTCGCTACCAGAGCGACATTGCAACCGCTTTCTGGCAAGCTCTACACACATTTCAATACTAAGATTGTGTTCCTCACGTTCGTGTCTTTGTTCGAACTCGGTTCCCTACTTTGCGGTGTCGCCAGCTCTTCGGCCGTCCTTATCGCAGGACGAGTGGTTGCCGGCTTAGGAGCGTCTGGCATCGTGAACGGCGCCATGACGATTTTAGCAGGGGCTGTGCCTGTGGAGAAGAGTCCAGGTATGTTCTTAGCTGCATAGATGTCAGAAAGTTCACGCTAATGGTATGTGACAGTGTACACCGGTATAGTACTTGGAAGTAAGCATGCTATACGATGGGAGTGGGCACATCTGGATGCTGACGAAACTATAGCTGCGCAAATGGGCATCGTCGCAGGACCGCTCATCGGAGGTGCTCTTACTGAGCATGCAATCTGGCGCTGGTGTACGTTATGTATCTTGTCGCGTGTTTTTTCTGTCTTCTGAAGCTGACGGCGACCCGAACGCAGGCTTTTACATGAACCTACCCATCGGCGGAGTGGCAGCCGCCCTCATCGCTTTCGTACCCATACCCGAACGCACGAAGAAGCCACGCATCACCCTGTCCCTCGTTCGCAAGATCATCCCCGATCTCGATCTGCTTGGATTTGCGCTCTTCGTCCCCCCCTCTGTCATGCTGCTCCTCGCTCTCCAGCTAGGCAGTGGTGGCAAGTACGCCTGGAACTCCTCTATCATTATTGGACTATTCTGTGGTGCAGGGGTGTGCGCCATTCTCTTTATACTTTGGGAGAGGAGAATGGGCGATCAGGCTATGCTTCCAGGTAAGCTGCTTGCACAGCGAGTAGTCTGGACGAGTTGCGTATACGCCAGCTGCATTATCACTTGTATGATGACAGCGAGTGTGTGGATGCCGACGTACTTTCAGGCCGTGAAGGGCAATGGACCGACTGACAGTGGTGTACACATCTTGCCAAGCATCTTGAGCCAGCTTCTCGTCGTTATTGCTTCAGGTGCTGCAGGTATGTCTATGCATTAACCAAATGATGGACTCAGCAGCTTATTATCCCTAGTAACGCGCACGGGCTACTATCTCCCCTGGGCGCTCGTCGGCGGTATCATCACCGCCATCGGCAACGGTCTCGTGTCAACGTTCACGGCATCTACGAGTACCTCGATTTGGATCGGCTATCAGATTCTGTTGGGCGCTGGACGAGGATGCGGCATGCAGATGGTAGGAACAAGTCCTGCTCTGGTTATTGTTGCATCATTGACGCTTTCAGGCCATCATCGCAGTGCAAAACGCCGTACTACCCGTCCAATACCCGGTCGCCTTGGCCAGTGTTGTCTTTTTCCAGAACCTCAGTACATCTATCGCTGTCGTCATCGCGAACACGATCTTCGCGCAGACACTCCGCTCCGCTGTCACACGCTACGCGCCTACAATATCGCCCCAGGCGGCGCTTGATGCTGGATCTAGTGCCGGTGCTGTGCGAGCCCTCGTTCCGCCTGAACAACTAGATGGCGTGCTGAGAGCGTACTCGGAGAGTCTGCGCGATGTCTTTTACTTCTTAGTGGGCATAGCATGCCTTGCTTCCCTTGCCAGCTTGGGTATGGGTTGGAAGGATATCCGGAACAAGCGCAGCAAAGCGGACACAGATGTGGAGATGGATGAGAAACGTGAGGCCGCGAACAAGTAGGAGGGTCATGGATTTAGCTATCTGAAAGATTGGCTTGGTGACTGTGATTTTCAACTCAAGACGTTGGCAACAAGGGTTTTGTATATTCATGGGGTTTTACTTAGCAGCCCCCATCCAACCATGTATACGTTCCCATATCTCATCACTGTTCTTCTCCATAAACATCATATGCCCATTACCATGAATACCGACTTTGCCAAGCTCAAGATGTTCAGCCTTGGAACAGCCAGCTTGCTTAAGAAAGTTGACCGTACAGTAGTCGTACGGCGCGTGGTAGCTAGCTTCTGACGTAACGGTGAGAATGGGCAGCGGCGCAAGATGAGGAAGTCGTCTCGGAGCTGGCTCGGTTGCTTGCAACACACAAGGAACAGTCGCATTATTGGATGTCAGGTTTGCAGGCTTGTACACCTGCTGTACTAGGTCGACCGCGGGGTCAATCACTGGAGGCGAATAATTCATCGGTATGTCTGTCAAGCCCTATAGGTTTTGAAGTCAGCAACCATCTCAGATGAGCCTGAAAGATTGGTGAACCTACCCACTTCCTCGCTGCTGCAGATCCAAAGACTGCTTCCTGGAAGGGCGGGCCCGTCGGCTCCAGCAAGAGAAGGCCTTTCGTGAGATGGGGCCGTGCATCAGCGATGAGCAACGGCAGAAGACCTCCCTGGCTGTGGCCAAGCAACCAAACTGGAGTACCGATCGAATCCAAAAGCTTTGCTCCAGCCGATTGCATAGTGCTCTGTTGATAGGTAGCATTGGAGATAAACTGGACGTTGGAGGAATAGAAAGCGTCGAATGTAGGATCGCCCATGATGCCCGCTCCTGGCCATTGGGTGTGGAGAGTGGATTGTGGCCAGAGACGATATTGGTGTGGAGCGGTGAAGCGTTGTTGGATGAGCTCAGCAGAATAGGTCGACGGCGCATCAGCACCAGCCCTCGGTGCCCAAGCGGAGCGTCCGCGGAAGGTCTGATCCACGATGTAGACAGTGTGGCCAGCCTCAAGGAATCGTGAGCTCCATGATATTCCTCCGTCTGGCTTCACAAGAAAGTTTGTGCCCGTCTGCCCTTGGCCGTGGATCAAAACGATAGGGTCCGTATCATGTTGTTTGGTGGGCACTGGCGATAATTTTTCGACATACATTTGGTCCTTGAATATATGGCCACCCTTGCCGTCTTCACTATAGCCACCCCCAACGTAGAAATATGTCCGGACTGCAGGTATCTCCGTTTCCGCATGGTGATGGTTGTGCGCCGTCACAAAAGAGATGAGCAGCGCAAGGTGATGTAGCAGCATCCTGGCCTGCTAATTTGAGAATTTCGTACTGGAGGGATGGATATAAGATGTCGATGAAGAATGCGGCGAGCTATTGCAACCGAGGCCAACTGCCGCGTGGAGTGGGCTTGGCTTGCAGCTTGTCGAGCTGTGCCTCGATGATCTTTCTTGCAGGGGCCCATGCAGCTACGAGCCACACCCGGCATCCTCAATGCCAGAGAAGTCGAGCATGTCGGACAGAGGTAGTACCGAATTGCCACCACACGTATGGACACAAAGGTCAAAGTCAAGGCCATGAGCTGTATTTCTTGGAAACATGCTGTTCATAGTCTCCGCGTCCTCTGTGCCTGCGGTTGTACCTCTACCCGCATAGCAGCAAATCTGCCATCCTTGCCCGTCTCTGGATCGAATCCGCTATACACCGCGTCCTGTTCTTCGCTCGTAACCCTTGCCAATTCCTCCGCACTTCCCGTACTCTTCAACGATGTATTTCTGACCAATTCGAAGTTATCGCGGCTATCGTCGAGACGTTCGTGGTGCGTGACGCGGACCTCGTTCGTGACGAAGATTTGGGTCCAGGAAGCCATGACGGTGGGCCAGAATATGGGCATGGACGCACACATGATGGCGAAGTCGATTTCGAGGCAGGAGATGATGAGGACTTCGGGGTACCACCATGTAAAATCGAAACTTTGCGTCATGCTCTGGCTGTTTTTAAAGGTGCTCCAAAGGCGGAGGATAGCCATGAGTACGACACTGCATCCGTCAGTGATGATACTGGGGTAGTCAGAGTCTGGACTCACATCGAACCGAGAGCGAACAATCCAGTCATGGCAAGCACCTGCTTCCGTCTAAGATCTTTCCTAAAGTATTCCGTGATCGGGACGAGGAATATTGCAATGTCGAACGCCATGTTCGTCGCAGCAAACGCGAGTATCGTGAATTTCGCCTCATTGATAGAGCGATACCCGAAGCCGTAACATTTAGAGCCAGGTTGTCGATCCCAAAAGTTCCTTACTGGAAAGCAAGGTATCCAAGCCATGAATGAGAAAGTCAGGCCCCATATTATCACCAACGTGAGAAGCACGATACAAATGATGCGGCGGACGCCCTGTTGGAAAAGTCGCAGGTACTGTAAGAGCAGGGATATCTTGATGAAGGCAGTGGTCGTGTGATATGCAGCATTAGTGATGTAAAGCCAGATCATGGTGGGTTGCAACACTTGTAAACTGTAGATGAGATGGTGACCCATGCCATATTTGGTGCCTGCGCGAGAAGTCAGTATGACGTCCACGGGTTCGGGATCGCACAAGCCTACCGTGGAGGAAGGCTATGATGGATATCAAGTTGAACACAGCCGCTAGGACTACAAAGAGGTCATCGAGACCGGGTTCACGAACGACTCGCAGACGAGTATGAAGACGGAAGCCTACGACAATCCAGCATAAAATCTATACCAGTAAGCTTGTAGGACGTTGTACTGTCGAGACAGACCTACGTGGAACGGTATTGAGACGCCAAACATCGTGCCTTTCTTGTTTGCCAGCGGTAAGGGCGCATTCGGGTTCGGGGGAGTTAGCATCATCTCCCCGATGATGCGAGTAAACTCGTCGGCCATGGTGGGCAAATATCTCAGTTGAGCTTGGTTAAGATGACTAGGTGACAGGTGTCGTAGTCTGCCTGCGTGCGGAAGGCATCGATTCTTCAACCTGCGGGTTGAGGAATTGCGACTTGCGCATCAGGTCATGTCCCTAAGAGAGGCTCTACCCCATGTTCACAAGTGCCAGAAACGCCCTTGCGCATGCTGGTCTTTCAGCCGGCTTTGCTAGCGATGCCGGCTGAGTCGCGTGCGGCTATGGATGAAGGCGGCCCTTTCTCCGCCAAAACTTAAACTTCTGGAAACTTCAAATTTAACCCTATACGACTCAGTGGAGCGAAGCCCGCAACCTCGTTCGAGCGCGATGAGAAGCCGTTCGGACGGGAGCGAGTCTTGTTTCCTGAACTACCTAGGATTGTGTGTCGCCAGGATAAGCTGGCGGCGATGGTGCGACACGCGAGGCACCGGTAACCATAGGAGCCGAAAAGTCTAGTCGCAGATTGCGCAAGGAATTGTGAATTAAAAAGATAGAGAACACTCGTGGAAAACTGTTCAGGCATTGAACTCTCGATCTCACAGAGAATCTCGATACCGCCGCTCAAGTGCCCAGGTAGTTAGCTGTTGAGTTGGCCACGCCAACTCTTTCGCTGTCCTTAGTAGCGCATGACACATGGCGCAACCTTCAAATGCAGATCTGGATCGCCCAGAGCGTCAGCCGTAGGCAACACACATCCGTTGATGTGACCAAGGATATCCCCGCGGAGAGTCCTGGGCGTGGGCAGGGGAAACCATCAAGCTCTGATCAAAGTTCAGAAACGGGCCTATCCGTGCCGATCTTGTGTAAACTGTTGAGCTGTGTGAGGCCTGGAAATGAACCTTTAAGAGAAGCTCAAAGCAAACTGGTGAAACCGTCGCCATCACTACCAGCCGCACTTAGCTCGCGACACGGCACCTTCGTCGTCGCCGTGAGGCCACGAGAACGATGATAGCGGATCGTCACAACTATTGCTCTCATCGGCAGCAGTGGAGTTGTCACGACTTTTACGGCCACAGTGAAGAGCGAAATAGCGAGGTGAATGCAAACATTTTGAGATTGAAGGACAAGATGCCCGGTCGACATTGGATGGAATCGACGATTCTATAAACCTGGTACTTCCCGTCCCTTTTACCCGCCCAACGCCCATAGATGCAGCAAGCCACAACGCCATAACCCATGCGACATTGATCTCGTCATTCTTAACTTCAGTCGTGCATCTTCATTTCCTCGAAATCATCCAGCAGTTGATCCATGGGAATCTGCAGGCCTTCATCCTCATCGTCACCAAGACTGCTCTCGGTCTCCATGGCATCTGCATCGCGCTGCTTCTGTTCCTGCTGCGCCTTGTACAGTGCCATGGTAGCGCGCAGGTCTTGGTCCTCCTCGACGTCCTGCAAGAACATCTCGAAGTCGCGCTCCATCTTCTCTTGATCTTGCTTACGGGGCAGCATCTCGCCTTCATCCTTGTTGATGCGCTTGACGCGCCAGTTGCGCTTGTTCTTGTTCTTCTTGGATCGCTGGTAATACTTCTTGACAAGCATGACATCTGGAATAGCGGCCGCGTACTTGTTGTTGTTTTCGAGAACGTCGAAGAGATCATTGTTGAAGTTGGTGTTGCTGAGTAGGTAGCCCATGACCGAGTCACCGACGTGCAAGATACCCCCAAGATGCGTGCGGCAGTAGTATGTGGTGTCGTTGACGCCCATGTCAGAAGCGCGGGCTACAGTGGCTTCAGCGAGGAAGTGGCGGCCTACTGACTTGCCTAGAGGCTCGATGTCCAGGACAATGAACTCGGTCAGTTCCTGTACGTCTGCGAGGGGTCGGAAAGGTGTCCGCCAGTAGATGTCGGTGGCGACATCGGCTGTCTGGAGGGTGGAAGGGTCGAGTAGTTGTATGGAAGTACCGATGCGGGTACAGAGTGTGAGAGGTGAGATGTTGCCGATCTTCTTTGCGAGGGGGATAGGGAGGACTACAAGATCGTCTTTGCAGATGGGTACGATTTCGCACGAGAAGGAGAACTTGTAGTTCTTGGTCGAGGTGTGGATATCGTGTGAGATGAGTTCCTCGGAGCGCTTGATGTTGACTGGAATGACGGCCTTGAGGAAGTCGCAGAAGGCTACGGCGTGATTCCTCTGGGAAAAGAAGAAGTCGATACCGTCGTGTACTTCCTTGATGTTGATGGTGTCCTTGTGGGCTCCATGCTTGAGAATCAACTGCTCCAAGTACAGGAAGGTCCTCTTGTGTGGCACCTTCTGTCGGATCTGCACACAGGCTCTCCATGTGTTGTGGGTGTAGCTCTTTGCGCAGTCTGGGCACTGGTTGTAGTTTTGTGTGTATTCCACCTCGAAGCTCTGCTGCATGATGGCGCCCTCGTTGATTTCCGACTGCACGGTAATCTTGACCTTGATCCTCCTGCTGTGCGGCTCGGTCCAGATGAAGCCCGCATCGATGATTCGCAGTTTGTTCAGTCCGCGCAGTTTCTTCAGGCAGAGAGCAAGCAGTTCGCGCGATTCGGGGGCAGCGACGACCCAGGTAGTGGGAGGGGAGAGCCATCGGTCGCAGTCGCGGCACATGAGCAGGATTGCCTCGCGCTGGATGCCGCCCGTCACGTCCGTCTTGAGTTTGATGCAGTCGTAGCAAAAGGCGCCCGAGAGTGTGCCATCGACAGGCGCACCGCAGTCTGCGCAGAGAATGGTGGCCGAGTTCTTGGGCTCAGGCGCGAAAGAGCGCTGAGCATCCATCATGACGCCCTCCATGTGTGCCGTGTCGTTTCGATGTGAGTGGTTTCGGTAATGCGAGTTCCTTCCGCTATCACAGGACCAGAGGAAGGATATATAAGGGAGAGAAGCAGCGGCCGGGTGTGAGTCGGACAGTCAGTGACTGCTTTGAAATTGGTGCCCCGCGTGCCCGGTGATTTTCAAAAGTTCGCCGCAAGCCCTCTTTGCCCCCACTAGCTCTCTTGGCAGATGCATCACTCCAGCCAGCGACCGCTGAAGACCATGCATGGATATTATGTTATCGACGCACAATGAGCACACTTTCACTCATTGGTATTGCTACTTGTGGCTCATGCCAGGAAGACTTGAGACTCCATGATGTACTGCCATGACAAGGCTGGCGTACCACAAAGGCGAGACATGTGACGGGGAAATCCATACGACGCTAGCAGGGGCCCACAGTCGGTGCTGCGAAACACCGATGTCATCGAGAAAGTTGAACTGCGCAGCGCCATGCCACCATCTGTGCCTGCTATACCCCTCGCCATGTCTTTCTCTAGGGCTACCTCTTCTAGGTTCATCTGCAATGCCTGTCGGAGGACCCAGGTTCGCCAATCCACCTCAGTGCCCCGACCCAATGGCGCATCTTTGCGCACCGCGCCTTCGACAGTCTCACGATGCGACTTCAGCACGAGTGCACTTCGCCGGGTAGACAAGAACGATCCTTCAACGGACGATCCCGGGTTCGCCTTTCTCAATGATAATTCCAAGCCTGTTGCAGAGGATACTGTATCACAGGAAACCACCGCAGACCCCACTGAGGGCTCCAGAGAAGCTGCGCCAGAAGTCGCGACCGAAGCCTCGCCATCTACAACACCACCTTCTCAACAAGACAATGCGATCCCATGGTATCTCAGACAACAGTCATCGGTCCCGTCGCCCGCATTGAACCCCGCCCAGATCCCAGACCTCCCACCAAACCCGCCACCGCTCCTAGCGACCCTTCTCGAATATGTCTCCATCACGGCTGGTCTTGACGACTTGCAATTGCTCGACCTACGAAACCTCGATCCTCCGCCTGCGCTCGGCCCTAAGCTGATCATGCTCATTGCGACAGCGCGTTCGGAAAAACATCTTCACGTAGCAGCCGACCGATTCTGCCGATACCTTCGACGCGAACACGGGCTGAAGGCGAATGCAGCCGGCCTGCTGGGTCGCAATGAGCTGAAGATCAAGCTGAGACGAAAGGCCAAGCGCATGAGAATGTTGGCAAACGTCGGTGGCTCCGCGCCTGAGGGCAACATCGACGACGGCATACGCACAGGCTGGATCTGTTGCACACTTGGGAAATTGGAAGCGCATCCCGATGACACACACATGCCAGGGGATGACGTGAAACAGTTCGTCGGTTTCAGGGATGTCAAGCCTGGCGTCAACGTAGTCGTACAGATGTTCACAGAGGAGAAGAGAGCCGAGACAGACCTCGAGACATTGTGGGGTGGAGTGTTAAGGACACATCAAAGGAAGGACAAGAGCGCCGATGAAGCGCTGAGGGAACTAGAGCAAGACATCGAGGATCTGGAAGAGGATACTGAAGATTTTGATTATCGAACACAAGAGTCGCCGCAGGCAGTCAACAAGTCGCCCACCGAGTCCAGCAAGACTGCCAGCCCACCAACACCTGCACAACAGTTACACCGGCCCCGTCCCACTCCTGGTGATTTCTTTCCACCCGCGTCGATTCCAGAAAAGAGGAAGCAGATACGCCGGTTACATACCGTTGGTCTCAGATAAGTGCACGAACACTACGATTGAACGACTTGTACAAGATGTAAAAAATACATGTAGAACTGTACCGCTTCTATGCAAACTTAGATGGTGTAGAACATTGTACTAAGAGATACTCAAATGACACGCCATAGTAGTGTTATCGCATACAATTGGTCTCCATAATGTACTGACAGCGTAGCAATGCGCGCACATAACGTTGAGTATGATACATATATAAACTAACAAAAGTACAAACTGCATACTACAAAGACGACATCATCAAGCCCCTCACATCATCACAGCCATACCTTGAGCGTTCTTTCCTGCCATCCCGCCCAAGTCGAAATGCTGCACCTGCTTCATCGACCCTTGGCCTCCCGAAACGTCGAGCACTGTAATCGCCGCATTGGTGGTTCCGTTACCAGGACTCAAGGCATAGACAAAGTCTCCAGCAGCACGGAGATCAATGAGGCCAGGGTCGCCGTTGGCAGATAGATCGAGCTGCATGATAATGCTCGCGTCGTCCAAACTCATCTCCACCACGCGGTTGACACCGACGTCTGTAACGAATGCGCTGTTTGTTGCGTCGGAAACTGTAGCCCAGCAGGTTGCTGCCTGACCGTCGATTTTCTGGGAGCCTTTAACTGTTGCTTGGCCTTTGGAGTCAACCGATAGGACGGCAGCGCCAAAGGAAGCGTCGGTGACGAAGAGGGAGGATGGATCGTTGGGCATGATAGCTGAGCCGAACAGCACGGCGGTTCCTTCGGGTGAGCTGCGAACGTCTTTCTTCGAGAGAGCTGCGGCGCCGTTGGAAGCTTGAACTGCGTAGGTGGAGAGGAACCCTGTGTTGTTTACGGCTGGATCGCCCTTGACGGTAGTGAAGAGAGCAGACTCATCGGATGAGAAGAACGCCTGGGACACTGTGTTTAGGGGTCCAACAGGGGGAGTGGTCTGTCCGAGGTCGAAGGGTCGGAGGTCGTCCATCTGCCCAAGCCCTTGCGAGGAGAAAGACGCGCATGAAATTCCGGCAACAGCACCCGTTGTTCCCACGCATGCGAGCTTGTTCTTTGCAGATGCCGCGACGGTATTGGGGAATTCTCCGGGTATGGTCGCGGGCTTGCCGGCGCAGGCGAGTGATGTGGGATCCTTGGATGATATAGTCATCATGGTTAGAGTATTGGAGCCAGCGTTCACAGCAAACAGGTTCTGAAACTTGTCAGTCCGACATTCTTGTCCATAATTTGCGGACATGTATATAAACTTACGTTTCCAACGACAGTCAATGCCGACTGGCCAACCAATGCATCAGGCGTCGCGGGCTTGCCATCTGCGTCAATTGCAACAGAACCCGCACCACCCGTCTTCATAACTCGGCCTTGCGAAAGCATACCATCGGCTCCAATTGGCAGCGCAACGACAGCGTTTTCGGCATCGTTAGTCAACATGTAAATGGCTTTGCCAACGGCAGGTTTTCCAGCACTCTGCTGCTGCATGCAACTCATGCCACCTTGTTGCTGTCCCTGATTCGCGCCTGGGCGGGGTCGTTGATGTGGTGCTGCTACTGCCATCGAAGGAAGGAGAGCGAAGAGGAATGATTTTGTGAACATGTTGGCGGTGCGGAATGTGGCGTGAAAACAGAGTAGATATTAAACGGCGAAGAGTAAGTGGGTGGCTTTGGAGCGAATGTAGGAGAAAGTAAGATAGAGAGTCCAGCTGATCTGTTGATTGCAGTATTATCAAAGACACACCCTTCTCTTATAGAAACTGCCCCAGCCTCAATGTCTTCTACTGTCGCATACCAAGAAACCGTGATTATTGGATCAAGATTTCCTAATTCGGGATAGCGTGGAATTCTGGAGAACAGCCGGGGTGTCAAACCTCTCCCGCAGACTCTGGCTTTCCCAAGCTGAGGATCACAAGGATTCTCCAGACGAACCGCCGGCTTGGTTTCATGGTTACTGCAGCGCGAAGAGAGGGCATACGTCGGGTATGCGGTAAATGCGAAACGGTACCTGTGTCAAGCGAGCGCTTCGTCGATCTATTGCCTGAACAAGTAATCTTGATCTTGAAGCAATTACTGGAGAGAGTTAGCCTGGGATTTCCAGCTGAGCACAGAGCCAGGTAGCGCAATCTGACACCGTGTCTCAACTGCGCCCGTCAGACATGTCAACCGGGCCGTTGTCATTGGCGCGACAATATGTATGGATACGGGATAATGGGAACACTAGACTTGTCATTTGCGCCGCACGCACAGCTTTGTCGCCTTGGTCGCTCCTTCTATTCGCGAGGTTTCAATTATTGGGCTTTTCGCGTTCGGGAAGCACAAGCGCAGCGATCCATCTCCGGTCTTCCTATCGGGTGACTGACTGACAGAACACCGCACCTGAGCACCATACAGGCTGTGCACGTGATGAAGTTCACCTTTAAGCCTTTCAAAGGCGACAAGAGTTCTCCCGACGGTATGTCCAATCAGGACCTATGAGCCTCTAAAAACGGGTCGCTAAGCATGCATTTCGCTCTATCCAGACGACGGCGACACGCGTAATCCAGGGCAAAGGCGCAGAGAGCAGGTTCGAAGAGCGCAGAAGTACGTTTCGCTTCTATGTCTACACACCAAGTGATCTCCTGAGTTGACAAATCAGAACACATCGCGAGCGCAAGGAAGCGTACACGGCATCTCTTGAAAGCGAAGTAGTCCAGCTCCGCGCAAATGAAGCTCGGTTGTCGCAAGAGACGAAGACGCTGTATTCTGAAGTCGCTTTTTTGAAAAGTCTGCTGACGCAGAACGGGATTGCGATACCTGAACGGACAAGAATAGGATTTGGTCAACAGGAAGAGGGAGCGAGCGAAGGGAGTGAGAAGAGGGTGGCTCTGACCGTTGGGCAAGAAGAGAATAAGAAAAAGAACCGACGGAAACAGATATACGTACAGCAAGTGCCTCAGGAATCGTTACGTAAGTACGCTACGGCTGGACTACGACAACTGTTCCCAATCCATGGTTACTGACACTTGTCATGCAGCCGGCTCGGCACAGCTCATAAGTCCGCCGTTGTCTGGTTCCGCATTATCAGGGTACATATCCACCGCGGGTTCGCCTGGTGGCTCTGCCATATGCATGGGTAACATGGACCCAGAGATCGTTGGGATGGACTTCGTCTTGACGTATGAGCATCCTGTTCTCTTTCCTCATTGCGTCGTCACTAAACTCCTACGCATAGTCTCGAGTCTCCTTGTTTACCACATATCGATGTGGCTTCGCCCAATACTGGCAGCTCCGACACAGATACTTCTGCTTCGACCGGCCACGCCTTGACTGTCTCAGCATGCCTCTTCCATCATCACCCTTCACCACCCGGACAACGCCAATTCTCTCCTTCGACATGGGAGGTTCCACAGGCCAGTATCGACCAGCTCCTAGCACTGTCTAGTTCTGTTCCGCTTCAAGACGGCGAAGTTACGCCAGTGCAGGCATGGGATTACATCCGGCGACAAGAGGGATTTGCGGGACTGGAGGCATACAGGTGGAACAGTCTGAAAGAGAAGTTGGTGGCATTGGTGCGGTGTTATGGCTTTGGCGGTGTTGTTGAGAGAGAAGCTTTTGAGAACGCGGTCTTTGAGGCTTTTGTGGTTGGGAGGGTGTTCTAAGGAAACGGGGGCATCTGAACAGATTTTTTTTTCTTGGTGGAACACGGATCAAGGACCGCAGGTAGATTGCGTACACCATTGCGTCGGCTCTTTTTGCGCATGGAAATGGTAGTGCGATAGCTCCGAGGTGAGGGCATTATTCCCGAGAGCCCCCAGTCATCACCGCTGGCAGATGGCACGGAGATCGTGGTATACAATACCTATTTCTTTTCACTCAGTTGGCATTTGATTCAACTTTTTACAAGTTGCCGATAGTAACAGCACTCTCAAAAGAGCCTGATCCTTCTCTTTGCTGTTTGACGGACCTCGGCATCGACTCAAGGAGCAATCCCTGCATCATTCATCAGAACAAGCGAGATACGGGGTATGCGCGGCTAAGTGGTTCGGTTGGTGGCGGATTTCTGGACCTGCGTCGCGTGTCGCTTCCCCAACTCACCCAGCACGCATCAATGGACAAGTCAAATTTCTGCCCTATTTTGAGCATTTGAAGAAGTACAGAGTGACGCCAACCAAGATTGAAGAAAACTGGGGGCGGCAAACCCACTAAACGCTCCCGAAAAGCTTAGCTTTCGACTAATCGATAGATCGCCCAATCGACAGCCCCACACCAAACAACGACAGCAGCGTCATCAGCGCCTACGTCGCCACCTCGGGCCGGACGACTTGTCAGCATAGCCACCCTGTTCGCCCAAGTGATTGAAATAGTATAGTACCTGCAGCCAGCCCGTAAACCCGTAAGACACGCGTCCCGGGTTCCCTAAAACCAAGGAAAACAATAACTCCCCGGCTGCCCCGGAAACACTGCGGTTCTTTGTTCATTATCCACTCACTCCGCAACCAAGCTTTTGCGCACTGCCTACCAAGCACTGCGCTGAGAAAGCTTCGACTACCCGTTCACTCATTACCTACATTCGTTATCGGCAGTCAGTATGGTGATGTGGAAGCCCGTTGTCTCTGCTGCTGTGGCGGCGCTAGCCACCAGCGGGGCGAAGGCAGCCAGCTACGACGACATACCAGACATTGAGGTCTATGGCCAACATTTCTTCTACACAAATAACGGTTCGCAGTTGTGAGTACATACGCATTCTGCCGGTCTAGAGTACGATACTGACAGCATCGAAGCTATCTGAAGGGTGTCGCATACCAGCAGAACTACTCTCCCAATGGCTCGACAAGCGCCGATACGAAATATACAGATCCATTAGCCGACGGCGACGCCTGCCGACGAGACATTCCCTACCTCAAGCAGATCTATACAAACGTCATTCGCGTATACGCTATCGATCCGACCCAAAACCACGATGACTGCATGGAGCAGCTGGCTAGCGCAGACATCTATGTCATCTCCGACTTGGGCGAGCCTGGCACATCGATCGAGTCGAACAACCCAGAGTGGGACGTTACGCTGTACCAGCGATACACAGGCGTTATTGACGCGCTGAGCAAATACAGAAATGTCATCGGTTTCTTTGCTGGCAACGAGAACGTTAGCAGTGATAACCAAACCGCTGCTGCCGGATTTGTCAAGGCTGCTGTCCGCGACACCAAGACGTATATCCAAAACCAAAACTACCGCAACACGTTAGGTGTGGGTTACGCGACTGCCGATGTGCCGTCGCGCAATGAGCTTGCGCACTACTTCGCATGCCAGCCCGGCGACTCGGGAAACAAGACGTCCATCGATTTCTGGGGCTACAACGTCTACTCGTGGTGTGGCGACAGCAACTACGCTTCTTCTTCCTATGGCGAGCGCGTCGATTTCTTCTCCGACTACCCCGTCCCTGTCTTCTTCGCTGAATACGGATGCATTGAAGGTTTGGATGATGGTCCCACCAGCCGTCCATTTACAGAAGTCGAGGTTCTTTACGGCAACATGACTGACGTCTTTTCTGGTGGTATCGTCTACGAGTGGTTCATGGGTGAAAACGACTATGGACTCGTTTCGCTCGTTGATAACGGCGCCAGTGTATCACCATACCCCGACTTCACATCTCTACAAAGTCAGCTTGCGTCCGCCACTCCAACTATTACTCAGCGCTCTGAATATACCCCCACCAACTCAGCGCCTGCCTGCCCCTCAGTCGGTGGATCATGGCTCGCGCAAGCCTCGCCACTGCCTCCGAACGTCAACCCCCAGCTATGCGCTTGTATGGTAGACAGCCTACAGTGCGTCTACAAATCTGACGATGACGACAAGTATGCCGACGACTTCAACTTTATCTGCGGCGAGAACGAAGATTACTGCAACGGCATTGCACGCAACTCCACGACCGGTGACTTTGGTGCCTACTCTGGCTGCGACCCCAAGGACCAACTTGCTTTTGTCGCAAACCAATACTACATTGGCCAGAAGAAGCGCGCAGATGCTTGCAGCTTCTCCGGAAGAGCTAGCATCCAGAGCGCAACCACTGCTGGAAACTGTGCCTCGCTACTGAGTGCGGCGGGCAACAAGGGTGATGGCAGTGTACCTGAGGCTACGGGCAAGGGCACTGCGGCTGTAAGTGGTGGCAGCGGAAGTGGTGGTGCAGCAAGCTCCAGTTCTGAGGGTGCTGCTCCCAGCGTCAATGCGCCTGGTTTCTTCGCCCATGGCGATCTCGTCATGGGCATGTATGCTGTTCTGGCAGCGGGTAGCTTACTCGGTATGCTTGTACTATAAGTCAGCTGAGGAGTGACATGGTAATATAGTATTCTTGGATGATGTCAACGAACATATGTGGTCAAAGTGGGGAGAGATATCTTTTGGCGTTAAGTATCTATTGATACACATGAGCAATGTATTTCAGCTGTTTTCTATACTTGAACAACTGCACATGCTCCGTATGTCAAATCGAAGTTCAATCGATCTATGAAGATGAGCGCGTGCAGCCCTTTCAGAATCGCTTTGCTTGATTTATCGCTTTGTCAGACCAAGCCTTCAGACACAGACGTGTCACAGTCATTGGGGATATCAAGTTGCACCAACTCCCAATACATTATATGATCTATGAGCTGGCCTTTTCTTCTTGTTTCTTTCTTTCTTCGTGTAACTACGCTGCAGTAGCGCAGTACATCTTTGTTGTTGCTGCGCTGGCATCGTCTCGTGCCCCGTAGCCCCTCTATACATTAGAGTGCCCAAGTGACCGTACGTACATAAAACCCTCAGAGATCAGACACATTATATCTGAAATCTGACGACATGCCAATCCTGTCCTTTCCAGGGGGGATATCGCTGTAGAAAGGGGAAGGCCCAAACCCAAGTATACAGCATCCCCGACGCCGACGCTACGCTTGAAGCCAAGAACTGACATTATAACATTCTGCTGAAATCAATGTAAAGTTGATGGTTTGTGAACCCCGAATACATTCAAGCTCGAAGATGAGCCCTTCAGTCGAGACTGTATGAGAAGCTAGTACATGTTGGGTGGTCCGGGACGACCTGGCTGCTGGCGTGGAGGTCCACCGAATTGGCCATCGAACATCATGCGTGGATCTTCACCACCTCGCATACCGGGCATTGGGGGGCCGCCATAGCCAGGAGGTGGGAAGTAGCCAGGTGGGCCCTGCATGCCATTGCCACCAGGTCCTCCTGGTCCGCCTGGAAAGCCCAATCCGCGGATACTGCCACCAGGCGGGAAGCCAGGAGGATGACCAAGCGGTGTGTTACCAGCTGAGAAACTCGGTCCTCCAGGTCCCATCTGCTGAGGGTTGGGACCATTGAGGCCAGGTGGCTGGCGCATTGGACCACCGAATCCTGGTGGCGGAGCGATGTTCGGCCGCTCTTGCGGTGTTGGCGGCATTCCGGGTTGACCGCGTCCGCCCATATATGGCATGTCCGGTACGGGCTGCGAAGGTATGCCCATATTAGTCGGCATGCGTGGGTCACCTCCAGTGTTGCGGCGCTGGAGGCCCATGAGTGGATCTTCCGGGGTGGGATATCCCATTGGCATGCGCTGGTTCTTTGCTCGCATGGACTCCTGTTGTTGCTGCTGCTGCTGTTGTTGTAATCTTTGCATATGCTGAAGCTCCAATTGGCGGTCGGCAGCCTCACGACGTAGCATCTCATTCTCTGTGAACATGCGAGGGTCTTCCATGAAGCCTGGGGGCAGACCGCCACGACCCTTGGCTTGGTGTTGAGCTGGATGTTGGGGCTGCTGTCTTGGCTGCTCGAAGAAAGCCATGTTGTGACCTTCCTGAGCTGGGCGAGGCAAGTTGTGACCCTGTACTTGCGGTGGTGTAGCGCGAGAAGGTTGCTGCATCAGATTTAATAGGAAGTCACGCTCACGCTGCTTCGTGGCTTGGTCGCGTTGCGTATCCTCGCGTGCACGACTATTCAACAAAGCTGCGAGGTTTGCATCTTGTGGTGCATTACGCTGCGGCGGGGGCTGGTGAGCATAGTGATCTTCTGGATGACCAGAGTCAGGGCGTGGGGGTCTGAATTGTTCAGAAAGCGCATTCTCTGGCGACATGCTATTAAATCGTGATTGCTGTGAAGGTCGCGAATCGGGTGGACCGGCACGTGGAGCCAGAATGTGCTCCAATATGCTCTGTTGTTCGAGTGTCCTTGGAGGTGGTCTACCGTGCTGCGGATCTTGCGGTGGCGATTGCTGGTGGAAGTCTAATGAGATGCCTCCACCCTGCCTCATTCCGTTCGTCGGCGTTGGCATACTCGTAGGAGGTTGAGGTCCCGGGGAAGGCCCAGTGCTTACTTGACCAAGCATCTGGAGGATACGCTGGAAGCCTTCTTTGTCGGCGTTGGCTTCCATGGCAGGTGCTGGCGATGCAGGTGCCGGGGCTGGCATTTGGCTGGGCGCTTGCGACTCTTCTGGTTTCGCAAACATTGTCATGAATCTCGACTTCTTGTCTGGCTTGGGTTTCGCTGAGATGGTCTCTGCTGGTGGGATCTCTGCCGACTTATCTCTACCCCAGTTTCCAAAGAGGATTCCCTGTGTAGGTTCGGCCGCAGAAGGCGTGTGCAGGGGTGCAGTCAACATAGGCGGAGCGGTGATGGAGACAGCCGTAGATATCTCTGCGGGAACCTCTCTCGATTCCTCCTTTTCGCCAGCCGGGGTATCTTTAGCCCTCATTTGCTCCTTCCAGCGCTGGAAGTCCTCTTGTGTGCGAGGCTTGAACTCCTTCTTCTCCACTTTGGTGTCCATCCATTCTGGGTCTTCTTCGCCACGGTTGCCGCCCCTGTTCCATTCGCGGCCGTTGTCACGTTCACGATCTCGGTCTCGTTCGCGCCAGCCACCCTGCACGCCGGTCTTTGTACCCTCATCTTTATCATCGCGACGACCCCAGCGTGGCTCGTTGCGCTCGCGATTGCCACGGCGTGGGGCTACGTCCATCTCAGGGTCACCCTCATGCTTGTCGCGGTTGCGATCGCCATTACGATGAAAGCGCTCAAAGTCTTCCTGGCCCAGACTCTTGCGTCCTTTGACATTTGTCCAGCCCTCACCGTCCTCTCGTGGAACACGACGGCCATTGGTGTAGCCCTTGTCCCGGTTCCGGTCGTTTTCGCGATCCCGTGTCCACCGGTCGTTCTTTGGAAAGCGGTCGCCAACGTTGTCTCCGTCTGTAGAGGTAAAGCCCGTGCGTTCTTTTGCATCGCCTGTGCCCTTTGCTGGAGTGCGCGCCGAGAGAAAGGCTAGCTTTGGCGGACCGAGCACTGTCTCTTCGCCAGGTTCTACAAAAAGCGCGTCAATAGCGGCCTTGATACCCTGAACATCAGAAGACTTACGCATGCTCTGGCGCCGACCGAATTGGCCCATGGGATTGATCAGCGGTCGCTGCTCATTTGGCATAGCCCCTTCTCCGTCTCGAGCGGCTCGAGTACGACGCATAGTTCCATTGTTGTTGGCGTGGCCATTGTTGGCGTTTTGATCGGCAGGCACGTCCATCCATTGCTGGATTGAAGGTAGCCCGTCCGGCTTCTTGACGAGGGGAGACTCTTTCAAAGCCAACAGGTCAGCCTCCGAATAGGTAGGCCCCCGCATTCTCGCGAGCTCAATGCAGCGAGAATGAGCAGGTGGGTATGGGCTAGGCGAGGCTAGCTTTACTCAGGGACGAGAGGCAGACCGAGAAGCAGGTGGTGTAGTGTTTGGTTATTGGTGATGGGTGAGGAGGCTGTCCTGAGGCGGGCGGGTGGTGAACCGCTTGACTCGCTTGCAATTGAACAGTGCCCGCTCTGCAGCCCTTACGAGGACTAGATATGCGGCCCCGGTGACGGTTGCGCTTTAGAGAGACGTGTACGATGGTGTGATGCTGAGCGATCGCAATGTAAAAGTTGAGCGGACGCGTGCGTGTCGCAATTCGTGGAACGAGGTGAGGGAGCTCGAGGTGGGATGCAACGTGGTAGGGGTGTAGCGGCGACAGAAAGCGGAGAAGAAACGGTTGCGAGCTCACTGCTGACAGCAGAACAGCAAGTTTGGGATGCAAATGTCTTGGAGAGCTCTGGGATACTTGGGTGTAGGCAGTGGGTGTGCGGTTGATAGCGCAGATGTTTGTTGTGGTTTTGTGTCCAGGTCGCGAGCGGTGCGGGCCTCTTCGAGAGAGCCCTGGGAGATGCGCGCCAAGAACTGCTGCGGGAACGAGTGCCTAGTCGCTGCGTCATATTAGGGTCCAGCACATGTGACTTCAGCCTGCACTTCAACTAAAGCCGCAACTTCACAGTAATCACAACATGATTGCGCATGGATGGGAATCAGACCATATCGCGTGATGGTGGCAGCCTTGGTTTCTTGCTAGGCAACCGCGCCACAAATGACCTTCAGATGACCTCTAGATTAGGAAGTCGCAAACAACGCCCTGCAATGCTTCGGATTGGCTTCCCAAACGCCTCGTACGGTTTGCAGACATGTACAAAAACTACACAACTCAGATCTTGCAAAGCGAAGCGATCGTTTCGCCTAGACTGTCACTGCTCCATGCAGCTACCTTCTCCCGGTCGCACGTTTCATAGACACGCCCAGCCAATGTCCTCAGAGCGCGATGTCGCGGATCATGGCCATCAAGCATCATCTGGATCCACGGGATAAGCCCGCATCTCGTGATGAGCGTCGTACTGCCTTCCACATGTGTCGCTCGCAGCAGTAGCCTCACGATCTTGTCCTTTGCCGACGCAGGACAAGATCGGGAGCTGTAATGAGTCAACAGCTGCTCAAATATATTGCTCCTCCTAAACAGTTCCATATCTGCAGGTGTCCGTAGACTGTCCAGGAGATAGTCGAAGTACCAGTCCACTTCCTTATGGTAGGTAGTATCGTCGTCCGGTTGACTGGCAACGATGCGATGCCAAAAGAAGCGCAGTAAGGAATGGACATCCCAGGCTGGGGACGCCGTGAGGAAGTTGTTCACTGTGCTAAAGAGCGAGTTTGTGGGATCCGCTACAATGCTAGCACAACGAGCGGCTAATACACCTCCAACGTACGGGAAAGCTTCAGCACCTGCCGGATCCACAGACTCCAAGACCTCGCAGAGGAGAAGGTAGAGTTGCTGAAGATCCCAGTCCGGAATGACTCCTTGCTGTCCAGTAGCTGTGTCGCCTTCCCCGGGTACGTCACGACTGCTGGTTTTAATAGTCGCAATGACACGTCGAATGTTGCTGATGGCTTGTATGCGGATCTCGGGGTGCTCGGAGCAAAGGCACAGCAGTAGTTCCCCAATGTCTCCATCGTCAATTGCTTCACTCAGCTCTTTCTTCCTCCAACGTGTGAGTCCAGTGTGCTTCTTGTCTTCGACGGGTGGTCTCTCAAGATCGACGGCAGACCTGATCTTGGCATGCTGCTCAGCCTCTTCCGTAGGCCTTGGAACCGGCGACGTGGATG